GCACTCCCACTACAAAAGATTTGTTCAAAAATTTCTGCAAGGGTGCCACGCAACATTGTGTCCTGTTGGTCTACACAATGTTACTAAGAAACCTGTAATTTGGGGTACGCACTGTCACTGGAATGGGTAGCGACAGAAGCACAAGCAAGAAAGGAGGAGGCTACTGTACTGCATTATCATATTTGCATACCGTATTTCCACAGCTTGATAAAAGACTATTGATGAAGCATGCTCCACAAAACCGCAACCGTCTTCACTGCATGAAAGGCCTTTTTCTTTCTCTCACATCACATGTATTAGTGCTCCATACTAGGTGGGGAAACCATATTTGAAAGCAAAGTACACTAGAGAAGGCATAAACCTTGTCTTATTCATAGCGGTGGTAAACAGAATGTACATAAGGAAATAAAAGAAAGTTTCTAGTGATCAATCAACCTGCATGCATGTTGTCTGCATGTACACAAAGTTTTGCATTCTTTTGTGTCGCTGTGGTATGCTGGCAATGCCTGCTTAAACATAAGCCATTCTACCTGTACGCTGCACTGAAGGAAGCATAGACAGAAAACAACACTTGCTGCTGAGTGAGTTGGTTCATAACATTAATGTTGCTACTATGGCTGTGACACCCTATTTTTGTAACATGCATAATGAAGGAGATAGTCGAACAGTGGTGTTAGCTTAGCGAGAAAGTCACTAAATTTAGTGTCTTTTCGGTCGTGCTAGCGACAATTCTATCTCTTTGGGGTCTTTTTGGGGGACTTCCAGGATTCGAAGTAGCCTGTTCTAAAACAGACATATAAAATTAGGAAAACTGTGAGAACAGTGTAATGCTCGAAACGATCTTCAATAGATGAGGCCAAAGCAAACAGGATCAAGCTGCTTGTGGCGCTGCGATCTTTAGCGTGCCATGTGGCCGTTCCAAGACGGACGAAGTGGCTACGAACAGCTCAGGTTACTGCAAACAGGTGGACTACAGCTGCTCACCGGTTCACAGTGGTGTAGCCAGGATGTAGTAGTGCAGTCCTACTTCACTCGCCACAACAGAAATTGATTTAAAATATTGTTTAAATACACAATAATCTCTTCACACACTTTATCATGTAAAAACTATCAAACTAGCAAGAAATTATCATAATCAACATTGTTTAGCAGCTTTTGGCTAAATTTGATGACCTTTAGAAAGCGCCTTGACTAATTTCCCAAAAAGAGTTAAACCACTGCTCTATGACACATGGGCAGTAGTGACAAATGCTTACACAAAGGTTAGTTTATCATACTTCAAAACTACTTAATGCCATTGCTGTAATCTTTCATGAACAGCAAGATAAAGTGAACTCACCGTGGTCGAATATAGTGTGCCTCATGTGGTTCGATAATGTACAGTATGTGTAACGCTTCATTGCAATATGCACTCATTCAACCAGCCATTTTCTTCCTTTTATACGACATATAAACTTGTTATATGTATATATACACCAATACAAAAAAGGCGCATCATTTTTTTTTTACTCTTCTCCATGACAGTGATCTCAATGTCAATTTATAGAAACTTGCATGCAAAGCGAACCTAAATATCCCTGAATTACAATTTCCCGTGTTGGAAAATTCCAGCGGTATGCAAACAAGTTGATCGATTTATTCCTTTCTTTTGCTTTTTGTGACCCAACTTGGGTGAGTGTGTCTGTTTCAATAGGAAAACACTACACATAGCTCCTATGTATCAGTAAAAGCATTTCAAGGTGAGGAGTAACTTCTACTCAATATTTACTTTAACGAAGCTGTTCTGATCAAGGAAAGGGGACAACCGTGCATGAGAGATCGACACGGGTCGAAAAGTTGATACTTTATATTTGATTGTTTATTTTATATTTTGTGCACATACCACCCAGTAGCCCGAAAGTGAACTTAGTTTTTTATTAACTGCATAGTTTAGGAAGAAAAAAATATTGAACTTATTTTGTACAGAGGGACCAATTTTGTCCCTTGTCATTTTCGAAAGTTAACGACGATATAATAACACAAATATTAGCTTCATGACGGCTTTCTTCCTAGTAAATATACACGTAATGAAGAGTGAAGCAGCATTGTTTGAAGCTTGTAGGCTGAAGCAAAGTGCTTCTGAAAGATGTCTAAACAGGTGACATTTTTTAAAAGTTGTTTGACTTGAGATTTTTTTCCTCCTAAGCTATACAAGCTGGTGTTTGATAACTTGGTGACCTATTACAACATAACGTTTGTAATATTGCCTGTCAATACCAAGGCTGTACTTCCAACACATAATTTTATAAATGGTTTCAAACTTTCGAATTTGTCGACAATAAAAATCAATATTTAAAAAAACCCCACCTTTGATTTTTCTTAAGATCTCATAAAATGTTCTTCAGAAATTATAGAAAAAGAATAATAAAAAACATATTGCATTATTTTATTTGCAGCGACAATATTACAGGTGGGAGTTCCAGCTTTTTGAGAACGCACTTAGTGTTATAAACGGTTGAGAAATCAAGCTAGAAAAAGTGGGCTTGAGCTTCTGAGTCGTTTGAACTGGACCATATTTACAGAGAAAAAGCAGATTTGGTAAACGGGAATGACCGTTTTAAGTGGGCCCTTCTAAAATACTTCAATTTGCTGTTTCAAGCCGCGGCTTGAGACTCCTAAGTTATTAACTCCTCAGTTGCTCACCTTGGTTACATGAGACAGCTATTAAAGTCATCTGCTTTTAGCGTTTTGGTACAGTACACTTTAATGGGAATAGGCTCGCGAGAGAATCCACCGAAGCATAACGAACATCGACATTTAGTAGCGCTGCTGCCGTTCCCTCAACCTGAACACAGTTTAGCGTTTCTTTTCCCGGTCACCTGCTCAACAATTTCGTGCACACCCCCTCTTGTAGGCAATGCATATCATAAGGTTTCAACTATAGAAAATGGTAAGAAATCTGTAATTTTAACAAAACATAATTTAGGGATTAACAAAACTTCCCTCTTACACCTAAAAGTGGAAAGCTTGGGAGTGATCAAGCCGGCATCTGAAATGAAGGTGTTTTGAACACACCATGACTTTTGTTCAATGCATTCCTCAGCTCAAGAGGGGATCAGAGAAGGGGTCATTCCAGGTGTTCGTGCACTATCTTCCGTGGTCCTATGCTGGTGTTAGAGCGCTTTAATTTATAGTGTTATCTGCAAATATGTACGGATAGCCTTAGAGTGTGTCATTATGTATGGATAATCCAGCATTAAAGCTAAGTGAAGAGCACCAGAAATGCACCTTTACAGAAATTTGTTCCTCAATGTGTTAAATCTGCTTCCCCTCTGTAAGTATGGTCCTGTTCAAATGACTCAAGAGTACAAGCTACCTTTTATAGCTTGATTTCTCAACCGTTTATTGCACAAAGTGCGTGCTCGGAAAGCTGGAACTCCACCCGTAATATTGTCACTGCAAATAAAATATTGCAATATGTTTTTTTTTAATATTCTTTTTCTATCATCTGTGAGGAACGTTTTATGAAATTTTAAGAGAAATCGAAGATGGGTTTTTTAAATATTGATTTTTCAATGCGCTTTACTGTCGACAAATTTGAAAGTTTGAGGCCATTTATAAATTTATGTGTTTAAGGTACAGCAACGGTATTGACAGACAATATTTTAAACATTATGTTGTAATAGGTCACCAAGTTATCGAACACTAGCTTGTATAGCTTAGGAAAAAACAAAACCTCAAATCAAGCAACTTTTAAAAAATGTCACCTGTTTAGACATCTTTCAGGAGCACTTTGCTTCAGCCTACAAGCTTCAAACAATGCTGCTTCACTCTTCATTACGTGTACATTTACTAAGAAAACAGTCGTCTTCATCAAGCTAATATTTGTGTTATTATATCGTCGTTAACTTTCGGAAGTTGCAAGGGACGAAATTGGTCCCTCTGTACGAAATAAGTTCAATATCCCCCCCCCCCCCCCCTAAACTATGCAGCTAATAATAAAAAAAAAAAACTAAGTTCACTTTCGGGCTACTGGGTGGTATGCGCACAAAATATAAAATATCAACTTTTCGACCCGTGTCGATCTCTCGTGGAATCACCCTGCAGTCTTATTTGTAGCCATGCTGAATGTATTCGACGCGTTCTCGTCTCAAAGTACGGCTCTGTGTATACCCTCCTATCAACCAGTGGCACCCATTCGGCAAACGGTGACCGTCAGCTGGCCGGTTGCCACATACCGCACAAGCATGCATACGCTAACATACACATATATACATATAAAGTAAAGATGACGTGAGCGAGGTCGCGGTTATCCTTTTGCCGTGGTCAGCTATCATCGCACGCGCGCGTGAAAACGACCGCGCGCCCACCAAGCGACTGTTCACCCCCTCGGCCGCACCCCACAGCTCTTCGTGTCGCCGACCCCCGAAAATAGCGCGACGGGCGTGCTCACACCGATCACAGGCAGACCGCTTCTCGGAAACGGTATTCCGCACACGAACCAAGCACTACGTGCGCGCGTCGAAAGGAAAAGCCTCGTAAAAACGAGGAAAATATCTCGATCGCTCGACCCGGAGATCGCCCCTAAACGAGTCGCGGTCGAGGATGGGCGCATACGCCCACGCGTAGTGTAGTACGGTCAGTTCCCCTTGCGAAGGGCGGGTGTTGTGGGAGATACGACCAATCATACATCATCGCTTCCTGGCAAGCGTCACTCGATATGGTTCGCGCGCACTTGTCTGCGCCAGCAATCGCGAGGACACACACACGCATGTCGCTCGAAACAAGACGACGTAAACAACACGGTTGACGTAGCGCATCCGCTCTATCGAACAAAAAGAGCCCCCGGCGTGCGGAAGTCACACCGCCGCCGCATACAGTTTCACGCTGCTGACCCCGAAAACGAGCAAAACCGATGCTGCCCAGCGCATTTACAACCGGCGAAAAGTACAATCTAGAAAGGCCAATCGCGGAGGCCCATGTTTTCTCCAAATCGAGCAGGGGCGACGAGAAAGACTCACTTGGGACTTCTCAAAGTTCTCTTTCTCCTGATCCAAACTGTTGGTCCTGCGCTGCGTCAGCGCCTTGGGAAGCGGTAGCGTAGACATGGTGGAAACGAGGCTCGTTTCTGAGAGCCCCGTTCGTATGCGTGCGGTGTACCCTCGGGCCACGGGCAGACGCGGTGTTTTTCTGTCAACCTCGGACGGTCGCAACACAACTACCACCACCACCTCCACGGAAACACAGCGAGCCGCACACACCACAGCAGCAGCTGCCTAGCAGTAGCAGCGGCAGTAGCCGAAAGTTGTCATTGGCGTTGATTGCGATGACAGTGCCGCTGCGTGCGCGTAGGAACCACTGGTAGGAACTCACCGCTTCGTCGGGAACTGTTGCAGAACGTCGTTCTTGACGTTTTCGAGTTATATCCCCTTTCCCGCCGACACTGAGCGAGCGGCGGATGTTTAGACGCTCTGATTCACACGCGAAGATAGCGGGGCGCGCGTGCATACCATATGCACGGCCGCGCCTTTTGAACGAGCGCCACAATCTACATAATGTGTTCACGCTTGCGAAAGCCGCCGTTCAGCGCTGCGGTGAGTGCCGGAATAATAGCTAACGGCCTCGAACCGTATCCATTGACTGTTCATTTGCATCTATGTTCTGCTTCGGGCCCGAAGGGTCGATACACGGCACCTACAAAGACCATTTGTCGAAGCATTAAATACTCTGAATCGAACTCTAAATGTGCGGTTGATGCAGTTCTTGTGCAGGTATTGGTGTGGGGTGCGGTAACTGCAGTGCTAATAGTGACGAGACGGAGGATGTGTGCAGCACGGTCGATTCAGCGATTCATGTGGCAATCGCGCGCTTGCCGAGATGGTGGCGCCTCCTCTAGCGGAGCAGCACTCTGCCGAATGTTTCAGGAGCGTTTTCCGCTATTTTAGGTCAATTATTGCGATTAATTCTTGGTAATTTGTTTACTTATATTACTTTGACCTCGCTAATTATTTAACACAGACATTGAGCATTCTTAGCCTCAGTTTAGGACTGTATTGACCAATGTGTGACCATGCAATTGCAAGACTCTAGATGGACGATAACCTGGGCACCTTGAGTGCTATGCACTCAAAATTAAATTGATATAGAAAAGTCAATTTTCATTCATTCTGTGAGTTACTTGGCTTGTTTTTATGCTCAACATAGCAATTGCGTTCGAGCAAGGATTTGCATGAGATGCGACTTGGCCGTGACGGCTTTTCATAGCTACACAACAAGCACCAACACAGACAGCGTGGGTGCGACTTACAAATTCTGTTTTTTTTTTTTTTTTTCAATGCATGCCTTCAGTTACTGCACAAACGTACGTAAAAGAGCAACATGCATTTGAGCTGCGACAGGACTGTGGAGAACCACTGTCCATGGTGAGGAGGACCAGGAGAGCATGTGCCAGTCCCGTGATGGTAGATTTTAGGCGTGGCCACATGCATTGAAAAACGATGGCCACATGAATTGAAAAAAAGGCCACGACAACCAATTTTCTATTGTAATCTCTGTTACATGGTTAATCTTTGTACATTCACAGATTATGTGGCAAAATATTAGCCCATTAAGATGCACACCTAATTTATAACAGAGTAGTTTAATAAACCTGCAAGTAGTCTGAGAGTCCGGCACACTCTAGGGCCATGACGTAACAAACAGTTAGCTGTGAGAGCGTCTGCATTCTGTAGAATGATATTGTTCTGTAGTCAGCTACGTGTGAGAGATATTTTAGCTTTTGTCGGTTTGGCACTGAAATTGAAGCATTTTCATTAGCTGAAACATTGGTAGAATAAGCCGGTTCCATTCTTTGCTGCACATGATGTCACATGTGCCATGACAAAATAGCAATCGCCGATAGTGGCCGGATTTTACAGCCGGCGATTTTACTTCCCAGGCTTGTTTTGCACAGATATATTTTCATGGCCCACTTTTCTATGGCCAACTTCTCACAACCTTTACTTCTAGTTTTCACCAGAAACGACAAATTGTTGGGTGACCATGTGATGGCCTCTTTAAAAGCACCTCTGTAAAATTCACCACTGCGTCGGTGGCGTTAGCCTTTGTACTCCCTTACCACAGTCCAGAAAGGATTCAAGTGCTCAGTCAGTCATTGCAAGGTCTTGCAGTCATATGCAGTAGGATTATCATGTAACATGCTTCGGCACATGCAAACAATGAGTGAGACTTTCACAACAAACTCTTGCAGTGAGACCTTTATATCTCTTGTGAAGTCAAAAGATACACGCAAAGTCAGACTCACAGGTCAATGGACCAGAGTCGGTCCTTACATAATCTTGAACTCACAATGTGTGCTGTGGGCAGTGAAGATGGCAGATTTCCTCAATGCGGATTTCCCCACTAATCCACACGGTGCACACATGATTCCCATAAATGCACGTGACACACTAGCTAACAACACTTCTTTTACTACAATGTCTGTGAGTGTTCCTCAATTATAAGAGTACTCAACGTCCGACCACACGGCTTCCACTTCACTTTCTTCCAGTTCATTCTGAAAGGAAATAGAAAATGCAGTGAAATAATTGGCATGTAAATACACTACATTCAGTCCACAGGACAATGCAATAAACTGTGATTTATTTAGAAGCATGGTCATGGAGACGTGCACTGCTTTTATGGCATGCAACCATCTTAAATTGACCTCAGTATTGGAATTAATAGCATCAGAGATCGCCTGTTACAATAATTTTAACAGCAAAGCTGTTCCAGCTCAGTGTGAAGTATTTCACTGTGTACAGAAACTGTCCTCATGATGAATAAGTACTTCTCAAACCTTGTTACAACAAGGTCACGCCTACCACGAAAGTACTTCGTTATATCTGAAAATTCGTTATAAAGGTATACAGTCGAACCCCACAACAACGAACGCTGCTTCAAAGAAATTTACGCTACAAGGAAAAATTCTCGTTTCGCCTTCAGCAGTTCATAGGAGTCAATGCATAAGTACTGTCGCCACAACGAACAATTTTTCTTCTGCCGTCCGCTCCAACGAAATTGGACTGTGCAATTCCAGGCTCAGATATGTAATGTTATGCAGTAAACACAATCTTTAACATTTTGATGATTTTAAGATGTGTTTTAGACTTTGTCATTGTATTTTCAGAACCTGAAAATACATCGACAATGTCTAAAACACATGTTGGCACCACCAGCCACTGTTTACTAAGCATGGGTGCCGCTGTTGCTCGATAGCAATGGCAATGAGACTGCCCTGCTTTTACCACTGGCTTTCTTTTGAGCCGCAGGCGATCCGACGCTGAAGCTCAGTCGCTCAGTTCATGGTTTTCTTCACACAGCTGTTGGGTGCAATCACGGAACGATGCGTTTTCTGATAACAATGCTTATGATTCTGTTTGCACTTGGCCAGTGTGGTAACTAATCAGAGTTCATTTGCATTATGAGCAAAATCAGCCAGCCACGAGTGATGGATAAGAATAGCATAAAATAAGGCAAAAGTCACCGCTCCACGATACCCCGCCTCCATCTCGGCGTTGTCTGATACATTTGATGGTGAACAGCTGCTGGTGCTTATGTGTTAATGCAACTGTTAGGTTCATTCACGAAACCCGTTGTGGCCATTGTTTCAGCGTGCTTCTCACCATGGCGTCGCAAAGCATAAATGAGAATCGCGTCGTGACGCTCCTAGGAAAAAATAGGAAGCAGCCAACACTTTTTGAATTTTAGGAATAAAAGTTCCTTTGTTTGGCTAGCTCAAATCAGCTATAATTTTTCGATTTCACTACAACGAGATTTTCGCTTCAACGAAATGTTTTCCACCCCCCCACCCCCCCCAGTTTCATCGTAGTCGGGTTCGACTGTATTTTTAACACTGTATCTAGGAAATTATTCTTCGCTTACTTCGTTACACCCGATAATTCGTTATATTGAGGCTTCAGTGTATGTGCCACACAATATGGACACTTCCCCATATTGTGTGGTCATACTGGCGATCAGACTGGTGCACTAGGTCATACTGGCGCGCTTTTCGAAAGTTACCTCATCGTGTTCGTTCTTTGCCATTACACTCAAACCTCGTTATAATGTAATGAGATATAACAAAATAATGGATATAACAAAGTAAATAAAATTCCCCTTGAAAGCTCCATTGAGAACCATGCATATTAAGCCTCGTTACACAGAAGTAAAATTGACCACTAAATGGATATAACAAACTAAATTAGTCTATCAATAGTCTATAATATAAAAGCGACCGTAGTGTGTTAAGTGTATCGTTTTCTGCAGAGTTTGACGCTCATTCGGCGCAGCTCTTTCAAAACTACCGCGCAGACCTTACAGCCAAGCCACGTGCGGTCGAGAGAGCTGTCTACCTCACACGGCCAGCGGAAAGGATTGAGGAATCGCTCAGCGGGTCACATGAATGAGAAGCGGCGCAAAGCGATTTCCCTCTCCGTGCCTTAAAGACGACGGCAGCAACTGCATCTCCACTGCTACTCTCTGCAGCTTTCTTTTTTTTCCCTCTCTCTTCGCACGTGGCCTTGAAAGCAGAGTCTCTATGTGTAGAAACGGAAAAGGGAGAAGCGTGGCTCAGGCACGTCGCAGATCGGCATTTGAGAAAGAGCAAACAATCTGCCACAGTCTTTTCTTTTATTCTTTTCTTTCTCCACGCGTAGCATTGAGAAGTGCCGCCGCAGGATCGGGCATTGTGCTGAGAGCATTTTCGGAGCGCAGTATTTTCGAATTAACCGCCCAAGTGCTTGTGTGTTCGAATTACAGGGCGTTTTCACCTATTGGAACACACATAGCTTTGACGGGACCTCAGCATGACTTTGAATTAACCGGAAATTAAAATTAAGTGTGTTCGAACTATTGAGGTTCGACTGTGCTTATTTTTCGTCGCACGCGTGGTTGCGTAGCGGTACATCGGGCTGCAAGGCAGGTTCCTTCTTTGCATGCTTATAGGTGTGCATCCATCTGAGCATACATTGCCACAAACTGTTGTAATTGATATAATGAAATAATGAATATAACAAAATAATTGTGGCACCCGTTCAACTTCATTATATTGAGGTTTGAGTGTAGTTACCAGAAAAGCCACTGCCACTTAAGAAAAGAAGTCAGAATCGTTGCTCGCCAATACCGTGCTTTTACAGCAGCGCCAGTGCACAAGATGGCAACCATCACATATTATCCGCTCATGATGCGCATTGTCAACATTACTTTCGGTTCCTAAACAACCTTGTGGCACAGCAATGGCGCAAATTAGACAAAAAAAAAACCTTTCGGAGCAGTATAGCACAGTAATTTCCAGTCGGCGCAGGTTTCCCACCGCTCGGAGAAGGGTAAGCAGTGGTCAATGTTGGGCCAGTTGGTGTTAAATAATGAAAAAAAAAAACAGTGCATATACAATGAGAATAGAGAAAGAATGACGTGCAACATGCTAAAAGGAAAGGGAGGAAGGGAGAGAGCAAAGTGTAGCACAGAAAGAGACTAATACTAAATAGAAACAAATATAAAAAAGAGACTATCAACAAAAGAGACAAAAAGATGTTTAGAGAGCAAAGAGGAAAGAAGTATCGTGCCATCTAGTGAACAGAAACCGTACCACCTGGCAAAGCTGGGCAGTAGCCAAGCCACACCCCGCCATGGAGACATCGTTTGCAAACACCGCTTTATAGTGCATAGCGTGGCTGCACCCGATCGTGTCCAGAGAGTCATGATTGTGCTAAGGAAGAGCGTACCCCTGAGGAAAAAGTCGTGCATTTCGAAGCCACATACACGTGTCGGTTGACTGTGAGTAAGAGCAGCGACAGGCCTGTGCTTCTGTGCCAAGCTTTGTGTAACTTAGCGCAAAATGCCCGCAATCTTTAGACTATGTCAAGTAAAAGTTACAGGCTCTTATCACTGGGAGTGTGCAAAGGGGTGCTTTAGAATTGAAGTGGAAAAAAAAAAACGAATACAGAATTCAATATCAAGAATATTGTTTTTGCAGGCGTCAATTTTCACAAGTTTTCATGCAAGGAGAGCAGCTGCTTCACATGTCTGGTAGTCAGTTTCTCTCTGAAACGCTTGCGACAGTCATTTACAGTACTGTTCCAAAGGGCTGTTACTATAGTATACATATGCCAAAAAACTAAAAACTTCAAGAAGGCTGCTACCGTATTTACTCGATTCTACCGTGCCCTCGATTGTAACGTGCACCCAATTTCCACCGGGAAAAAAAAAAAAACTTAAGACATCGATTGCAACGCGTACCAATTTTTCTCGCTGGCCCGCACGATCACACCACTCGAAAAAACGACTCCTTTCGGGAGCGTCTTCCATTTAAATATGAGGTACGGGCGAAGCTTGTGCCCATCTGACGTGTAACAGAGCATTGCCGTCACTGTAGTTTTACCGTGGACCAATGTCAGCACGCGAACTTGCTTCGCCCCCTTCTTCTTGACGGTTGTGGTGCCAGGCATGTTGAAGTAAAGAGGCGTCTGATCGGCATTCCCAATTTTCCCAAGCAGGTAACCGTTGTTGCGCCGCAAGTTTAGGACGAATCTCTGAAAACTGTGAAGCTTTTCATCGTACTGCTCCGCAAAACTTTTCGCATATGCATGTTCCCCTTCGGAGGAAAAAGCCTTTCCTCTTCATAAAGTTAGTTAGCCAGCACCTGCTCGCTTTAAACTGGCTCCGCATTAGACCGTTTTCTAAGACTAATTGCATAGCCCGCACTTGGAGCAGTTCTGTCGTCACGGGCCGCTGTGCCGCTCGCTGCTCTAGCACATACTCGCCGAGCAGCTCTTTAATTTGCGGAAACAGACCCTGCTGTGGTCCACTGAAGCCTTTGCGTGAAGCTTTGCTGTCGACAATCTTCTGCTTTTGTTTCCGCCGGTCCCGCACGCACGTTTCGGGAACTCCGAACGACCGTGATGTGGCCCGATTTCCGTCCATTTCTGCACACGCGATGACTTTTCTTTTAAAAGCGGCGTCGTGGTGCACTCGAGTTTTTGGAGTCGGCCATTCCACGCCGTCGATGCTAATGCACTACTAGATGATGAACTCCTCAGCACACGTACGAAGTGCCGCACATGAGAAACACATAGGCAGAAATGGACGACGCGCCATGCCGACGCACGTAGGGGGCGGCCATTTTAGATTTGCCGATGGCAATAGATTGGCCGTAATTTTTTTGTTCGTGCTCGATTCTAACGCGCATGCGATTTATGAACTCGCTTAACAGGAAAAAAGGTGCGCGTTAGATTCGAGTAATTACGGTAACTTACAACTGCATGGCAGCACACAAGTTTGAAGTTTCTGTATGCTTGGTGCAGCAGCGGTGAATGCAGCGTGACCAATTGTCATAACTTTTACGTGCAACACCAAACGCCAAGATTTTCATGGGCAGTAGTTAGGAAACTTTTCAGAGCTTGCGGCACACACAACCAAACTATGTGACTCTTCTCTGTTGGTGAAATGTGACACGGTCATGCAAGAAGCACGAGTCTTTGACTACGAAGGGAATACCAAGGACGCACTTTGAAGTTTTTGACGACTAGTAAGGAAGAGTAGCCAGTGGCACGAATACACGTCAATAAATTTCTACAGTGGAATGCCGTCACTGGCGTGGTGCCTTTCTTTATTTGCTTGATCGGTCATATTAAATGAGCAGCAGCTCTTTGACTAGCCTGTGTAACGCTGTCCCTCAATACGAACGTGCCGCGTGTTACAGGTGTCGGTGCAATGCCAAGTAGGTCATGCCGTTGCAGTGCATTGATGTTACGCTCCTCTCGCAGTGCACGCTGACATCACTCTCTGTCTCCCTTGCCGCGTGCCCGCTGTGGTGCCCGCAGCTGCCGCCTCATCCGTTCGCCCACAACACCTGCCCGGACTGCCGCTCACTACACTGCTGACACGTCGATCCACGCGCAATAGACCTGACGAGTGGCTAACTTACATGTTAAAACATGTTTGTGCATGTCACGTACAAGACTTACTTCAGCCATTGCTTCAAACGAAGGTTCCAGCTCTCACCGCAGCACCCGCGTTACACCATTCAACCCGTGTGCAACGCTGCTGCTTTGCATCCCATCAGTGTTTCCTTCGGGGAGATGGTTCAATTTTTGGTGAAGGGGTAAAGCTGTGTAAATTACTGTACTTGTATGCAAATTAGAACCAACAGACATTGAGATTATTAGACGTAATAGTAATGAAAATGTGAAGCTTACAGGCAAAAAGAGTTCCACTCTCACCGAAACGGCAACAGGCAGCGTTGATTGACACTTCTACATTTAAATACACATATATACCTTATAAAGTGGATGAGTAGATGATCGCCACCATAGCTCATTGGTAGAGCATCGGATGAGTTATTTGATGGTCGCAGGTTCGGATTCTGCTGGTGGCTAGTTATTTTTTCATCCACTTTTTTTCGTCACATTTTCATTACAAGTACTTCTAACCTCCCCTATACTTCTCTTGCCGCCATTGTCTATTAGTTCTCATCATTATTGCACCTAACAAAAAAATGGGCCCTTAAATTTACACTGCTTTCATTCGTGTACTATTTATTATGTGCACATTTAAGTTACAAAAATAGCATCCTATATGATAAAACTGAAGTGACCATTTTCATTATCGTCAAATCGCAGTGCCACGAACTGTATTTGTGTGGTATCACACTTTTACAGTATCTTAGCAGGGTGAAATTCCTCAGCCCAGAAAGCCACTGTAAATTTGGTTGTGAGCCCTCACCTCGACGTCAGACTCCACTATCTCGTCAACGTCCATGTCGTAGCCAGGCTCCACATTTTCGGGCCTCTGTTCCACCCTGCGCGTGCCCCTCCGTGCACTTGCATTGCTTGGGTCTAGGCTGCACGCAACAAAATGGAAACACACAGTGTGTGAGCTCTCAGCAAGCATGACGACTGTATCAAAGTGAATACTATACTCTACCACCTATGTTAGAGTTGCATGCAGTGACCCTCATTGTAGAATTGAAAAGCGGGCGAGTCGGAGCTTATCTAATCTCAGCCCCTGCACAAGCAGGGAACACACCCAACCCATTGTCTTTCTCCTTGTGTGTTGTCTGTTTGTGCGCGTTGGCCGACGGGAGCTCTCAGCGAATTACTTATTGCAAGGCTCGCATCACTAACTTACTACAAATAAAGGAGGCGATAACACCATATGGTAGCGTTTGTTAGTTACATACTTCAGGCTCAGTATGTCAGTTCTAGTCTCTCACGTGCAGCGGCGTCCAACAGTACACTGGCCTCTACTGAAATGCGATCTTCGTGGACAAGATGGAACCCACGACCAAAAGATTGCAGGTTTGATCACTGTAGCCACTGATCCACGGTGGCAGACACCACAGCAGAGATTCGGTCATGTACTTTAGAGAGAGGTCTAAGAATTCTATGGCCGCAGTGTCATTTGCAAAATGTAAGCCGTGAATGAAAATGCATTGCCTGCTTCGTGATCTTGGCATTGCTCATAGTCCTGTGCAGGGCAAAATGCTCAAAATCGTAATTTATTAGCTTCAACTTCCGCCAACAGGTGATGCCACAAATGGTGCGTCATTGCAGTTTCGGCCAATGTGAATCCTGACAGTAGAGCAAGGGACATAAAAAGAATGTTCAATAAAAAAATCTGGCCCCGTATTTGCATGTTACTCTGTAAATGCCGTCGAAAGACGTTAGTCTTGCGTCTGGAGAGAGTGAACAAAATGTTTATTGAGGCGCTGCGTTAGACTGTTTCGAGTGTGCAGCAGAGGCGAACGAGCACATCATGTCATGTTACACGTGAGACATGAGCTCTATCTGGCAGTTATCCTGGAAAACGAAGCGCGCGGCATGCGTGCCCATCTCGGAGGTGATAAGGCGTAGAACACAAGGCAACGGGTAGGTGCCACAACCATGTCACCTTAGCAAAGCGTTGGAAAAACTTGCTTTTTCGTGCAAGCATTGCATTGTCAGCGCAGCGTGATAAATGCTACGGTCCTTAGAATGATGCATTTATTTTCTAGTAAAAAGACACGCATACAGACTATTGATGTGTTGTTATGGTGCCTCAGACATGCGCAATAATTGCTTTTTATTTGACAATGGCACAAGTACGAACGCCTAATCATGAGCAATATTGGTAGGCGCTGCAGATGGGGTCGGCCGTTTGGGGCATCGTTAAGGTCAGACAAGCAGGCAAGTGTACAGACAGACAGACAGACAGACCAAAATTTTTCTGTAGAAGGTCCCCAAGAAATACTATTGTTCTATTGTTTAAAAAGGGGGTGAATGCACTAAAAGGTAAAACACTGAACGTTCAAGTCTTTCCTGATCTGTGACATAGGACATGTTTAATCACAAACCACTGAGCAGCTAATTAAAGAACAATGGAGAATGTTATGCAGTACTATGTTGCCAAATTATGATGTACTGGCAAACTAAAAATGCTGGCCTTACCATGTCATGAAGATTCTTTTGCCTGAAAAGATCAAAGAATGACAGGCGTGGCACTGCACCTTGTAGTTTCCAGCAGCAAGCCAAACACTGTCTTGCCTCAAAAGCTTTATTAGAACTGTACTACAAAACTAATGCATATTTCTTCTACACGTGCGTGTTGCAACACGTGGCTTTTTGACATAGCGCCAAGCCCACCCCCTATAGAGCGAGAACGAGCGGCAATGCGAAGCTATGCACCCTCTCTCTCTTAGGTGGAGGGCACGGTGCCATTTCGTAAAGGCACGTGCTGACATGCTGCAATACATGTATGTGGTCAGGCCGAGAGAGATAGAGTTCTGCTCTTTTACCATGTATTTTACATCATGCGAATGCTGATGTTTAAAGCTTTCAGTTTTTCTTAGTTACATGAATGCCGCAAAGATAAAGTGGACAGTGCAGCCTGCGTGCTTAGAGCCACAAGTTTGTGCTGGTGGTCAGGTGACTTTTTGTACCCCATGCTGGCTCACGCTAAGCAAGTTGTTATCTAACACTGTATTTACTCGTGTAATGAACGCACTTGCATAATAAACACACCCCTAACTTCAGTCGTCAAAATGTGGATTTTTCTTTTCCCTGTGTGATAAATGCACGCCCTACATTCGTCTGCTGCAGTTCAGCTAACTGCCACCTGGCGCCTCCTTGCCCGTTGGATCTCTCTCTGTTTTTTATTATTATGCCGACCCCCCTCGGCCACCTTGGCTCACTCCCTCCCCCCTCCTTCGTTCGCTGTCACGCACCGTATAGTCTTTCTTTCTATCTGTGCGTGGCACGTACCCAGTCTTTTTTAAATATCTATGCACCACAGCGGGGTTCACGAAAGGTGCCACTGTAGAGACATCGCAGCTGGCAAGCACACAGCGAGAGAAGATTACGAAACTTTCCATGCCAACCGACGGTCGCTTCTTGCAAATACGAAACTTTAAGACCTAACCACATGCACGCAATTTTCGAGCGACGATGACAGGATTTGCTGTAGCTACGCCTGTCACGAAGAAGAGCCATTGGTAGCTATCGCGTCGCACGATTCTAGAAAAACAGAAGGAAGTTGCTTTCGCCCAGAAAAGATTGTGACTATTTCCGCAACATGGTCCCTGATTCTTGCTTCGGTTGCAAGCGAGGCAGCATTTTGTCGTTAACTTTGTTATCGACAGTTTGATTTTATGCTTCGGTGGCAGCTTGCTGCAATTTCAACGGCGTCGTAGCAGTCATGTTGTGAGGTTGCCACGATGTTGGCTAAGTGTATCATGACGTCGTAGCACACGCTTCTGGATGCCTCTTGAGATCACCGCAGATAATACTGTTGCGGTTAAACGATTGCGAGAAAAGATGTCCGCGAAACACTTTACAGTGTGCACGGGCAGCGCGGGAGCAGCTTGCAGAAAATAGCACCTTCAGTCACCGAAGATGAGTGATGTGCACCAAAGAAGCTGAGCAACCTAACTTTTTTTTTTGCTTTACTGCTTCGCTCATACTGAAAAAGTTTTCATAAAATTTTTACAGCGTAATAAACGCACCCCCAACTTTGTTTACATTTTTTTACAAAAAAAAAAATGCATTCATTACACGAGTAAGTAAGGTAATCATTCAGTGTTCTCACTGAGATTGAAACCAGATTCCATCTGATTTATGAAGCCACCATTCTCTTCGACTTTGCTGAATCTCGAGGAGATTAAAATTTACTAGTACTACGAAAAGCTCACGACAACCTGAAGGTGCCAGATAGCACGACTGAGAAAGAAGCAGGCCATGCTCAGAAATAGCAGTAGTAGAACTAGTACTAGTAGTAGTAGTAGTGTACGCACTTTAGGGCGATTCCAAAATGCTGCAGGGCCTTGTCGTGTTCACCAGTCCGAGCGTAGAAGTCGCCCAGCATCTGGTGTAGCCGGCAGGTGCTCTGGCTCTCCAGGTGCTTCTGCAGGCTGAACGGACAGAAACACAGCAGAAGGGCTCATCAAAATCGGGTTCGGGCACTACTGTAACGCTTGCAACAGTTCTCTACGAGGATAAGAAACGACATGTAATATAGGCAAGCAGGGAAAATAATATGCCCGCAGTGAAGTTTGCAACATGATGCAAGACAGTGAGTGGACATAACAGCAGTGCAAATAAGGCACCATAATAAATCAGTTCACAAACGAATGAACAACACGCTTGCCCACAAGGAAAAGTTGAAATGTGTCAAAATTCCTCACACATGGCAATGAAAGGAGCATAGCATATGTCCAGTTTGAGCATGCATGCTTGGAGAAATACATATGCCCTTGATGAATGGTCTACCTACTCTTGCACAAAACGTGCCAGTAGTAGGAAAATCTAAATAGCCAAGACTGATACACAACAATGAATTCTGGGGGGGGGGGTCACTTTGCTGCTGCCGATTTCCAGTGCTTTGGGATTTCATTGTTTTAGATCTGCTTGATGCAATTAGCGTCATTCTGGTGTAATTTTGACCATTGCAAAGTTTTCACTCTATGGCTGGTCACTGCAAATGAAGCTTAATGGCAAACAAAACTTATTCTCTCACAAAAAAGCTAAAACATGCTCACAAGATCAAAGAAAGAGCTTTAAATAAAAGATGTTACAGATGATTGTAGGCTTGTGTGAATAGTGATATTGGTAAAATAATTCGAAATAGAATTCAAATAGTATACATGTATTATATATTATTAAAAAAAATGGACATATTTGTCATGATCTAAACTAACCTTCACAATATTAAAAAAAATTGAAACAAGGCCAGTGCAAATGCAACTTTTTTTTTTCACCCATGAAAACGAAAAAACTTTGAATACTAGTGGCACAATTTAACTTTGAGTAGAATGCAAGTGATTGCCTGTAAAATATTTGTTACTTTATAAGGTTTGCTATACTTGGAGCATATAAGCCGGTATAACAAGCTTTTAAAATTGAAGGTGCCCTGCAACACTTTTTGAGCATGGCCAGAAAACGCTGCCAATCGGTAGTAGAGGCTCCCGAGAACATGTCAGCTAATTATTATAGCGCAGCACGCGGCCTGCAATTCACAATTAACAAGTAAGCTAACGATTGCCTTCTCTTGCCTTGACAAATAGCAGAGAAAGCTATAAAGTCACTCGTAGAAGGCTTTCTATCAGCGATTGGCTGATTTGAGCATGGCGCGCTCAGTCGTTATAGAAATTGCTGCAGGAGGCCCACGCCTGTGCGCGATCACACTGAAAAAGCAGCGTATGCGAAAAAAAAGTAAAAAGTGCTCAAAGTTACGAGGCGCACGTGATGTATTTTCTTTTCCTATGCCATCCCCCCAGCTTAACTTACAGCGTTGTCGTCGAAATGAAAGAAGACAGAAAGCGATTGCAGCGTGCGACAAATTTTTTTAACTATGCTTGTACTGGATCGATTCTTAAAATTTTTGCGTCGTTGATTTCGTGAGGCAATGAGCTCTTTTAGTAATTCCATGTAATGGTTGCTTAAAAAAGTGTTTCAGGGCCCCTTTAAAAAATGGATTGATGTAGGGGTAATATCCTCATTTAACCTTGAAGTGGGGCTTTGCGGCAGTAAGGATTTCCTTTTAATACAAGTTTTCATGGCTTAGCATCACTTAACTGCAGTGAAACCACTTTAACAAGAAGATTACATGCAAATTAATATATACTTGAATAGGCGCTTTCAAAACTTTTCACCCCTCCACTGTAATGAAAACCTTTTTACAGGATGTCACATGTGAACTAATATGCATCTATTTGTTCGTGTTCATTTCGAACAATTAGAAATTTTCAACCATTTATTTTGTTCAAAAGCGAATTTGAATACTGCACTATTCGTTGGAATATTCGAAGCATTCAAGTATTCGCACAAGCCCGATAATTCACATCTGAATGTGTTGGTATAAAAGGAGGGCAAACTAAAACATGAAAAAGTTTAATGACACAATGAAATCGAAACGTCGGGTTACAGTGACTTGATATTAAATGATTCTACATTGACCCTGATTAGGTGACAGTCATTATCAACCATACCATTTAAAATTAAGCTCATCACACCAGATTACAGAAAAGCACCTGTGGTGTGTGCGTACTTAAAAAGTGCTAAATCATGAGCACATATACAATCAAAAGACGCAGCGCTATGTTCTGTTGTTCTTTCAATTCGGTCGTATCTTGTTATGCTGCCCTTATAACTTCCGCAGGATATGTACTGCCTCGCCCATCTTTTGTTTCACTTGGTTTATGGGATTAAATGTCCCAACAGACTTGATGGGAAGAGACACTGCAAGGTGGGTTTTTAGGATAATTTCTTCCACCACAAGTCTCTAACGCATACCAACGTAGCACAATAGATAATCCTCTGGCATTTCACCTAGATCGAAATGCCAAAGCTGCAGTGGGGGCTGAACCAATGCCTCTTGGGGCAGCAGCCATGCTTCGCAGCCATGCTTCGCAGCCATGCTTCGCAGCCAGGCCACTGTGGTGGCTCCAACTTCCCCAGTGACCAAACAAACTTTATTGGTGAGCAGTCAAAGTGTGTTCGAATGCCTTTCTACGAATAATATACGGAACAAACGATAACACTGCCAATTCTACCAAAACTTACTCAAGCAAAAAAATCAGTCTTGAGAGAAAGATGCTGCTCGACAAACAATTGCTAAGGAAAAAAACCCGTTTGTTTGGTTTCCCTAGTCATTTCGAAGAGAAACTTCTGCACACTATGAACACTCGCAAGGCAGTTTAGAAAAATAGCTCACCAACCTTAAAGGGGCCCTGAAACACTTTTTTGAGTAACCATGGCATAATTCACTAGAAAAGCGTATTATCTCACAAATTCATAGAGGCAAAATTTTAAAAATCCATCCAGTACGAGCGGAGTAACGAAGATTTGCTATACTCTGCAATCGCATTCTCTCTTTTCTCGTCCCGACGAAAGCGCTGAAAGCTGAGCAGCAAGGAATAGGAGAGGTAAACAAAAAATGACACTCGCGCCTCGTGATTTTGAGCCTTTTTTTTTTCTTCGAATACACAACTTTTTCAGTGCAATCGCACGTGCACCCGTGGACAAGTGATGGCCTTTTGCGACGACCTCTGTAACAACCGAGCGCGCCATGTTCAAATCAGCCAATGGCTGATAGATGGGCTTACTGGGCTTATTTTCCAAGATTTGTCGAGAGAAGAGACAGCTACTTTTTATTGACTGATAATTTATTGCGAATTCCAGGCCGCATGCTGCGCTATAATATTTGGCTCGCGTGTTGTCGAGAGCCTCTACTACCGATCGACAGCCTTTTCTGACCATGCTCAAAAAGTGTTGCAGGGCCCCTTTAACTAAACACTTGCATGAGCTTTGCCTATCTGACTTGCCTTCATTACCATATGTACTCGCGTAATGATCGTAATGTTGCTAATAGCATGCGCTGGAGCATTGGAACCGAGCGGCTGGACGACACTTTGGCGTCAATCCATGCACTTTGACGTCACCAGAAAACTAAGATAAATATGTGGGGTTTAACGTCTCAAAACCACCACATGATTATGAGAGGTGCCGTAGTGGAGGGCTCCGGAAATTTTGACCACCTGGGGTTCTTTAACGGGCATTCAAACCTGAGCACACAGGCCTACAACATTTTTGTCTCCATTGGAAATGCAGCTGCCGCAGCCGGGATTCGATCCCGCGACCTGCGAGTCAGCAGCCGAGTACCTCAGCCACTAGACCACCGCAACGGGGCCACCAGAAAACTAAAGCAGTGCCTAGTGCATGCAATGCATTAACTTGATTGGAGTGCACTCTCTATGTCCAGTGCTTCATCATAGGATTAACCAGAATTGACGACACTTGGCTTTTAGAGACGTACAATCGAGAAATGAAGATAAGTATGCTACATTTTTTTGTGTATTGCCTAGTAACTTGGTGAATAATAAGGCGTACGGCCAGCACACCCATTGAGGCTGAAACAATAGATGTGCAGTGCAGGTGTTCCTTTAATGGATGTGCATTCTTTAGAAAATGAAAGAGATGGACAGAACAGATAAACGGAAAAAAAATTGACACAGAAATAGAAACAGAAATACGACCTTCCTAATTAGGACTGCTAATGAACCCATATTATTTAGATTATTTGTTAATTACACCTTACAAATTAACAACATTCTAACAATATACATTGGGCAGTAGCTCCACCTACTAGCGAAAGCGACCGAAAAATTGTTTTTTTCTTTGCGCAAGACATCATGCTTATTCTTATATCTGCAAGCTGAATAGTGACCAAGCTGCTTTTACAGTTGTATTCCTCGGTCGTAGGCGCGCTGTTGGTCGTATATCTCAGCCAGCAGGTACACGGCCGGCAGGTGGGTGGGCTCCTGTTTGAGCGCTTTCTCCAGGCACACCTTGGCCTTCTCCAGGCTCATCGGGCTTTTCATCAGCACACTCGCGTACAGCTGCACGCATAGGTGGAAATTGCAATGAGAGTAAGCAACAAAAAAAATATTAAGCAGATCCAAAATGCACAGTGAAATTTAACCCTTCGAGATAATTTCTATATATTTACGCACACAACTTGTGTCTACTAGAGGCTAGAAAAGAGCAAGATACAATGAGGTCGGGATGAATTTCTGCGCAGTAAATACGTATTCATACAAATTTATCTTGTAGTGTACTGTTGCATATGACCACCTTGCTGAAGGCATCACCATGTTTGACGAGTGATTTGATGTGCCGCTTTCAGTGAGTAACGTCAAAACTATAATTTTACTTTGCACAGAGTGAACAAAACGAAAACAATATAGAGCACGTAGTCTTAAATTAAGACCCAATTACATTTATGCAATAACCGAACATGAAATCCCCCAAGATGAATAACTATTCACAATTTAATTAAGGTTAATTACTATAGTATGCACAAGTCAATCTGCTACGTCAATATTTTTCTTGCCTTAGAATATCGAGTGACTTGCAATAATGTTCTATATATATTTCAAAGCATTTAAACAGTTCTTCTTAAAGGAGTGGAAGTGGACTTCAGTGTTTTGGAGCAGCTCAGGGAGCAGGAATGATGCTGTTTTGGAGCAGCTTTGCTGCAGTAAAAGGGAAGCTTTAGAGCCGGTTCGGAGCACCAAAGGTGTTTTGGAGCAGGGCCAAACATCATCAATCAAAATTATTTCTAGTAAAAAAATTCCAATACTTTTAAATAAAAAAATCAGTACTATGAGTCAGTGAGAGTGTGTGAATGTGTGCGTGATGTGAGTGAGTAATACAAAAGAAAATTCTCATTTCATACTCAGCCTGGAACAGAAAAATATTGCCACGTTCCATTTCTCAAGTTTTGTTATCGCCCCAAAACACTACACAATTCTCAGTGCAAAACATGCGTACAGTTTTCGAGAAGCTTCCGGACTTAGTAGATCGTTTCGATAAGATCACGCCCACTCGGCGAACTGTACAGATTATTCTGGAACCTACGCCACCGCCAGCGATAACGCTAGAACATTCGATGGCAAGAGTATAAATGCCGACGCACTTCGCCGCTTGTCAGTAGTTGATCGACGGCCGACGCTCCATTTACCGCTATCAGTCCAAGACTGCTACTGTAATCGGATTTTCCATTTACCGGGCACAGGTTCGCCCAAATAAACAGTTAAATTCCAACACAAAGTCTCCTGTCTTCGGCCACGTCACGACCCCGTGACATCTGGTGGCGAACGGAGCCGACGCTCCGTTCGCCACCAGATAACGCGTTGAAAAGTTGCGGGCGCTGAGCAAAGATTGAAGGGCATCACCTTAAACTCGAAGAGGCCGTCCGGTGTTATAAACGCCGTCTTCTCTCGGTCTCTTTCGCCGACTTCGATTTGCCAATAGCCAGTCTTGAGGTCCATTGATAAAAAGTACTTGGCGTTATGGAGCCGATCAAGTGCGTCGTCTATTCGTGGAAAAGGATACACGTCCTTTTTTGCGATTTTGTTCATGTTCAGGCGGCGATAATCGACGCAGAAACATAGAGTCCCATCCTTTTTCTTCGCTAACACCACGGGGGACGCCCATGGACTCTTGGACGGCTGGATCATGTCATCCCGCAGCATCTCATCAACTTGTCTCTTCATGGCCTCACGTTCTCGCATCGAAACCCAGTAAGGACTCTGACGGAGTGGTCTGGCATTTTCTTCGGTTATGATGCGATGTTTCGTGATTGGGGTCTGGCGAATTTTTGATGACGATGAAAAGCATTCTTCGTATTGCAGGAGCAGGGCCTTGAGCTGTTCTTGTTTATGGTTCGGAAGTGTGGGATTGACGTCAAAAGCTGTGGGAGGGGCTTGGTTGCTCTGAGCAGGTTCCGCAGAGTCGGCAAGGGTGAAAGCACTGGAGGCTGTGATAATTTCTTCGATGTATGCGACCGTTGTTCCTTTGTTCACATGTTTGTACTCATTGCTGAAATTCGTGAGCATAACCGTTGCTTTGCCTCCCCGCAGCTCTGCAATTCCTCTTGCGACGTAAATATTTTGGGTGACCAACAGATGCTGACTGCCTTCAACAACGCCTTCCAAGTCAGGTGATTTATGAGCGCCGACTGAAATAATTACGCTGGAGCAAGGCGGAATGGTGACTTGTTCTTCCAGCACATTCAAGGCATGGTTTCCTGACGGCGTGCGCGGCGGTATTGCTTCTTCTGTGGATAACGTTATCGACTTTGTTCTTAGGTTGATGACAGCCCCATGGAGGCATAAGAAGTCCATACCAAGGATGACATCTCTCGAGCAACGCTGTAGGACCACGAAGTCTGTAGGATAAATACGGCCGTTAATGGTGACTCTCGCTGTGCAGATTCCTGTAGGCGTTACGAGATGACCTCCGGCTGTGCGGATTTCAGGGCCTTCCCAAGCTGTCCTTTCTTTAACTTCGTAGCGAACGACCTACTGATGACGGAATAGTCGGCTCCAGTACCGACGAGAGCGGTCACACTGTGGCCGTTGATAAGAACGTCGAGGTCGCTAGTTCACCGTCTCGCATTACAGTTAGGGCGTTGCGTCGGGTCACAGCTGCGTTGGCTTGTTCCAGTACTTCCATGTTGCGTCGTCAGGTCACCTTCGGTAAGTGAGCTTTCGCCGTCAGGGCTTTGCCAGGTTGGCGTTGTGTTCGGAAAGCTCCGTCGCGTCGTCGTCGTCGGAAGATTTTCGGTAGTTCGTCGCACAGCAACCGCACCTCCATCGGTTGCTGCCCTTAGTTTCCCGGATACGGGCTAGGAGACCGGCCCCGCGTTGGGCCAGAGTACTGCCGGTGGTGCGGCGACATGCGGCGGCTGGGCGACGGTGAACGGGAAGGACTTCGTGGTGTCCATTGAGTTCCTGTCAGGTAGTCGGCGATGTCATGTGGCCGTTCTCCTGGCTGTGGACGCGGTGCATTGACGGCAAAGCCACGCAGACTCATCTGTCGGTACTGGCAACGGCGGTATGTGTGTCCGGCCTCGCCGCAGTGGTAGCAGAGCGGGCGGTGGACAGGGGTGCGCCAGACGTCAGTCTTCCTCAGTGCACTGTGCTGGGCCGCTGGCGAACGGTAGGACGTCGGTGGGGGTGGCGGCGGCGGTGGCGTCTGGCGACGGAAGTGCGATGGGGCAGCGTTTTGATGTGCGCAAGGAGGAGGGGCATGGTGGCGGGCTGCAGCAGCATAGCTCATGGCTTGCAGCTGAGGCTCTAGAGGCTGAGAAACGCCAAGCGATTGCTGGATGTCCTGGCGTACGACGTCCGCGATGGATTCCACGTGAGGCTGCGCTGAAGGGAGTAATTTTCGCAGCTCTTCTTGCACGATCGCTCGGATCGTCTCACTCAAGTCAGTGGTTCCAAGCCCTTGAATGCCAGCATAGCTTGTAGACGAGAAGCTACGGTTATATTGTCGCGTGCGCATCTCGAGCGTCTTCTCTATCTTAGATGCTTCTGAAATGAATTCGGCGACTGTCTTTGGCGGGTTTCTGATCAGCCCGGCGAAGTGTTCCTGCTTTACTTCTCGTATGAGCAGATGGACCTTCTTCTCCTCAGACATGTCGGGGTCAGCATGGCGGAAAAGTTTTATCATGTCTTCCGTAAATAGCGCCACGTTTTCGTTTGGCATCTGCATGCGGGTTTCGAGAAGAGCTGCGGCCTTCTCCTTGCGCACCACACTTGCGAAAGTGGTGAGGAACCTGGCACGAAAGACGTCCCACGTTGTAAGGCTTCGCTCTTGATTCTCGAACCAGGTCCGAGCAGCATCTTCTAAGGCGAAATACACATGCTGGAGCTTGTCATAGTCTGTCCAGTCATTGAAGGCGGCGACGCGGTCGAACCCTTCGATCCAGCTTTCCTGGTCTTCCAGTGGCGAACCGCGAAAAGTTGGCAGCTCTATGGGTTGTCGGAGCAGGAGTGGTGCAGGCTGCACGGGGGCGGTCATGGTTGCAGTAGTTGATGTCGGGATCCAGGTCTGCCTGGCTGCTTCAGGAAGGGGCCCGTACTCTGGTTGTAGTCCCCTCTGCCGGCGGCTTGTTCACTGTTCAGGGTTAGTGTCCGTGTCTTCTTTGCCGCTTGGGCTGGGGTCTCGGCTTGAAGGGGGCGTCCGGAACATTAAAGAAGCAGCACCTCCATCAGATGTCACGGGGTCGTGACGTGGCCGAAGACAGGAGACTTTGTGTTGGAATTTAACTGTTTATTTGGGCGAACCTATGCCCGGTAAACAGAAAATACGATTACAGTAGCAGCCTTGGACTGATAACGGCAAACGGAGCGTCGGCCGTCGATCAACTACTGACAAGCGGCGAAGTGCGTCGGCATTTATACTCTTGCCATCGAATGTTCTAGCGTTATCGCTGGCGGTGGCGTAAGTTCCAGAATAATCAGTAAAGTTCGCCGAGTGGGCGTGATCTTATCAAAATGATCTACTAAAGTCCGGAAGCTTCTCGAAAACTGTACGCGTGTTTTGTGCTGAGAATTGTGTAGTGTTTTGGGGCGATAACAAAACTTGAGAAATGGAACGTGGCAATATGTATATTGTGGGTGCTCAACTTTTTGAAAGGCTTTTAATCATTTACTGCATACCTGTGTTACATGCCCGTCAGCTGTGTGAACTATGTAAATCGCTAGGAGGTGAAAAAAAAGAGAGACTGAATAGAAGAACGCAATTGCTTGAGCTTCGACAGGATGCTCGTTTTTTAAATTTTATTTAAAGCACGATTTATTTTCATATAAATAAAAATGCAACCCATATTAAATATACAAATTGGCCACCATGTGTCACCCCTTGCGATTTTTCAGGATTTACACAACTGAGTAGCATGCTAGGATGATAGTGGATACAGCTTGCTTTTGATTTTGTTTAGGCTCACCAGATGGTCACTTGATTCAACTTCATTCTTTTTAGTTTGTCAACACCATTTTGTAGCAGGTTTGGAGCAATTACTAGCAAGTATTACACTTTAGAGCAGCATAAAGCAGCGTTTGTCTTTTGGAGCAGTCTGGAGCGATTGGAGCAGCACATGCTCTACCCAATGAAAAAAACTGTTGTTTTCTTTACCAAGATGATACTGTAGGCTGAAAATGTCCCCAGAGACTGTCAATGAATGAGCACTCCACAAAAACAATATGCATAAATAAAAAGAGAAGGAAGTGCAGCACTGACTGTGAGCGCCCGGGGGGTGTGGCCTAAGTGCTTGCAGGCATTGCTGGCGAGTGTCGCTGCATCGTTGTTCCGCAGCTGAGCCAGGTAGCAGTCCACCATGCCTGCCAAGAAGGAAATGCCCTGATATTCAATGGAAGTACAGTAGAACCTCACCGATACGTTCCCGCCTAATACGATTTCCCAGCTCCTATGCTCGAAACCGCGAAAACCAGAAATGCCCCCATCAACGTTCAAACGCATCAATACGTTCCGCTTGATGAGTTTCCGGAAAATACTACAAATAATTGGCAGCAACGTTCGGCACTGTGGCAAACTGCAGTCGCATGATACGTTCCGCGGGTGAAAATTATCATTCAGATGTGCACAAACAAAACGCTCTCGAGTGCTAGTGAAATGCAGACTGCTGTCCCGCGGCGACAGCGATTTCTTTGCTCGTCCTGCACACTTTTTGTTCAAACCCAGGGCTACAACAGCCAGGAGAACACTACAGAGCTAACAATGTGGCACAAAGAATGAATGCGCTGTCGGTCACCTCCAGTTCGCGATGCTTCGGTACATGACGAACGTGCTGCCTCCGCTACACAATGCGCTATGCATCTTTCTCACTTTTGCTACATCTGCCTCCTCTCCCAACCACATTTCACGCGTAACTGGATTCTGTCACCATGTTCTTCCTTCAGATTTAAAATGCCATGTGTATTTAGGTATGTGAGCCACACACCTTTCAGCGGTAAAGATGAAATGGTAAAGATGCGTTAAAGATACGTGCTTATCTCCCTCCGCTAAACCCCCTGTCATTAGCGCACTACTATGTTATCTGGGTGTCGGCAACACTGCAGGGTAATCTCCACCGGACATGAGCGTCGCCATATGAGATCGTCGTCAGTCATTGTCGCTACTTCAAGAAGAAGAAAAGAAGGCATATGCAATCCGGGTCCTGTGCGAGGCTGCACGTTGCTCAATAGTTCGCTATTCGAGACAGCTGCACCTAGCATGGTGTCGAGGAAACGCAAGCCCTTGGAATACTTGAGCCCTACTTGGGACAGTGTGACGAGATAAGTGGTTAGCAATCGTTCCAAGAAGTGCGGTTTTTAGCGGCAGCTTGCATAGCAGGATACAGAGCACAGTGAAGCACGACCGTTTGGGGTGCGGGTCTGACATTAAAGACGACATCGATGAGAGGCTCTTTTCCACTGGCGCCGATGCACCCTCTGCCGAGTTTGTCACTACAGACGACAACGTCTGAACTTGCGAGCCGCAAAGTATCGCCGAGATTGTCGCGGAGGTGGTGCGGGGGTATGCAGCGACGGAAGTAGGGGACGAGGCACCGGAAGACAGCTGTGAGAACGAAACCATGCGCTGTCCTGCTAACTTCATCGAAGCCCTTGCTGGACTAGAAGCCTTACAAAGCTTCTTTTGCATAAAAAACAATGAAAATGTGGACATGGGTCTACAATGTGTGCTGACGGAGCTTTTCTTGTCCAAGGGTGAGAAGCAGCAGCAGAAATTTCATGTTTTTTGAGAAATCCGTGTTTTTGTCCTTACACCTGCATATGGACTTCTCAGCCTCAATTTTTTTCTGGATTCGAATCATCCGTTTATCTTCCCCAGTTTTTTTGGAAACGTATCAACAAGGTTTTACTCTAAAATTCGTTGTTTCGGGTGCTAAATCCACGATATGATTATGATGTATGCTATTAAAGGCCCCGGAATAATTCTGGCTATTTCAGGTTCCTTACTGTTTGCAAAAATGAAGTTGCAAAACGGTTTTCATGCAAGCCAACCCAATCAAAACGCAGCCGGCTCTCGTTTTTCCCACACGGTGAACGCTTGTCTCACAAGAGGCTTCAATAAATGAGCAATGCCACACCGAAAATGTGAGCAGTTTCCCCGAGTTCATGAGCAGTAAAGGCGCACTGAAAATGAACACACAATAAAGGCACACACATGCGCACGTAGGTATAGTGCCTTCATTGTGTGCTCATTCTCAGTGTGCTCTTACTGTTCGTAAACATGAAAGGCCAATGTGCCCAGATTACCTTCTCAGTTTCCTGAGAAATAGCATGTGTGATCCCAGTGGCACCGGATGGAATGTCTGCTCACACACATAGAGAACATGCTTCCTACTCTTCGACTCGCAATCAACATGACACGTGACCAGTTGTGCGCTCTTTGGTTTCGCAACTTGTTCCACCACTGGGCAATTTAGAGAGCTTGCTTACTGCATACACAAGGTGCCGTAAATATCTTCTTGCTTGTCTGCACTACTGTTGGCTGTGTCACTTTTTACTACAGCACTCTACAGCCAACAAACAAGTGTACACGCGAGCTTACATGTACACACACACACCTTTGTAGGCCTCAAGCCGGTGAGGTGCCACCTTGAACACTTCGCTGAAGTGGGCGATGGCTTCGTGCACCTTTTGCACTTCCAACAACACTGTGCCCTTCAGCAGAAGAGCCTCCACATGGCGAGGGTTCAGCGTACATGCCTGCATTGCACATTGATTGGGGAGGAGACAATGTAGCTGAGAGAAATAACAGTGCACTTCTATGTTCCCTGCAGTTATGCTTGTGTTTTTTTTTTGAAGAAGAAGAAACGTGCCGATACTCTCGTCACATGGGCACCTAAAGGTCTTTTGAGCAAAAAGTCTTCATCTGAAAAAGGGTTCCGCCTGCAGACAAACCACAGCGGGCGATCTCCTTTTCAGAAGCGGTACTTTCTGGAAACAGCATTTGTCGATCTCTTTCACAGACGTAAAAGAATAGCTTTGAAACCAAAGGGCGTCAGCAATTATAATTGGTGAAACAAAAGTGTTAATTCTGTTACCTAGGCTTACATACAAATCAAATTCATATCTGATGGAAGGCGTAATAAGCCCTTTAAAGCTTATTTCCTTGGGTACAACTAAAGCAGGTCAAGAGGCTCAGGGATACACGGCGGCGGCTAGCGCATCACACACACGAATTCAAGAAGTGCGGTATTGTAGCATGTATGGTCAATGCCGCCAACTGAACAGCCCTCAACGCACACGAAGAGCAATGGCTGCAGCAATCAGAGAGGGACAGTGGGTTTTATATATCGAGATACATAATTTTGTATCGACTGGTAATTTCGTTTTGGAAGCTAGCGCCATGCTGTCAGTTGTGCATTCGGAACAAAACACTGAAAAGAGATGGTCAGCGCTGTGTGTCTGCGAGACAACTCCTGTTCATTAAAGGTCTTTGAGGTTCGCAAAAGACCGCTTACGTGAAAGAGTTTTCGCGCACTCATGTGAAAGTGGTATAAGACAAACAAAGGCCCAATCATCATAAACTATAATTATAGTGATATCGTCCACTTGGTTTCGAAATCCGTGTTCTCAAGCAAAAAAAAGTGACTCTCTGCACGTAGTAGGGGTTCCTACATTGACGGCTCGTTCACAATGTCGATTGACAGTGGTTGTTCAGCCGTTTGCAAGCAACCTGGCAGCGACTCGCAGTATTTGCACCAATCCGTGTGACCTTCGCGTTACCTATACAAATGCCTTTACAGATAGCACTTGTCCCATCTGCGTGCAAAACCACCGGCTCAAAATGGAAGAAGACATGCTTTACTTGTGCATCTTATTCATTAGCAGGCTTAGCAAGTAAAAAATCTAACAAAAAGCTACTAGCCTCGAACAGTCGCCTTCTGCAAAAGCGAGCATTTGCGAGTGCCTGCAACCGGTTGTTTCATGACTGCGGAGGTTCCTCGACGTGAATGAACTCTGACACTAGTTTGATCTGAGCCGAGAAGTTTCCTATCAGAGAGGGAGAGGCCATGCAGCTACCTTTTGAGAAAAGTAGATGGCTCGGTTGCCCTTCTTGGTGACGTAGCAGAGGTAGGCCATCACGACCCATGGCTCAGGACTCCTGCTGTTCACCGACATGAGCTGCGATGAGAGCCTGCGAGGAGGACGAGTAACACACCACTCACCAGTTGTAGTGTTTCACGTGTACAAACTGCATACGATACAATTACAAAATACCCCGCAACGGGGTAGCCCAAACTAATTTCGACCACTAGCGGTACCTAGGCATGCACCAAAATCTCGTACATACATGGAAGCATTTCTACTGAACCGTAATCAAAATATGAAGCCAATAGGCTATTTAATGTGTAAGACAGATGTTCAATTGCTAGGTTCCCATTTGCAATTCAAATCTGGCACAACCAATGCCATCTTGTCATGTAGCGGCCCCACATAGTCTATACGAAGCAGAAACCTCTTTTGCCCATCTCTACGAAGTTTACGCGAATCGCTGCTGATGACGTGGGCCAGCGTTCCTCAGCCACAAATTTTCGGGAACCCTTGTGGAGCAGTGAAATGAATAAGGGACTCCTTGCAGCGAGAGAAAGAAAGGTGGGGGTTCATGAGACAGCAAGCAGCTTGAAGTACGTGGCTGTTAAATTGGTCTCCGAGTCCTCATAGGAGTCCGATGACCCCCATTTGAAAACCAGCGACACAGGCAATGCTTGAACACAGTTGATACAAGGTGGTGGCAACATATTCAATGTCTGGTCGAAACCAGGCCACCAAAATATCAACCTTGCTAGCTTTCATGAACAACAATCTCTACTCAGGAGGCGATGTCATCTGTTGCCAAGAGTGCACGTTTTGTAAGCACTGCAGTGATGTTTTAGTAGTATATGCACATCACGACGGGCACGATGTCTTCAGATTCCATCCGAAGCAGTAAGGGTAGAAGTAAACAGCCTAATGCGCTGGCATTGCAACACAGTTTATTGAGTTTATGCTGGAAATGCTATATATAGTTGAGTAGCATGTTAGGCCATCTCTGTATCTTAGCCGGTTCCATGGTAAGTGCCGAATGTTCTGTCCTCAACAGACCCAGCAATAGCTGACGCTTGGTGTTGCGAATTTTAGAACGACAAAATGGTGTCGGTTAACACAAAAGCAGGCGTCATAGGAGATAACCCAAAGAAGGCTGTCCTACAGAGGACGTAATATGGGCGAACAACGATAAAAATAGACAATAGTTTGCTCATTGCTCTGACAACAATTTCTCTGTTCGATGCCTAAATGAGAAGAACAACAGACTCACGACTCAAGCTCTTTGACTTTCTTCTCCTTAGCCAGCAGGGCTGCGTACACGTCCATGCCTCGCAGCAGGTGCGGATCCAGACTGTGCACCTGTCGGGAAAGAGTTTCTTCAAATGACCACATCAACAGTTGTGATGAACATAAAGGTACTATTTCTACAGTTAAATCTTGATACAATGAAGTCGGTAAAATCGGCAAATTTACATTGTGATATCGAAACCTCATCTTAATGAAGCTCAAACTTTCATGCACAGTATGCAGCTCCCTATGTATTTTTTTATTACACTGTACAGAGTGTTGTGAGATTGTTCAAACAACAGGAAAATAATGAAAGTAACCTCCTTCAATAACTTTTAAGAAAATGAGTTATGAAGAAAATGAGATCTGGCTACCACAACCTGATGAAATGCTATCGTTGTGCTCTTCACTGCAGCGCTACATTAGGTGTATTACTAGTAGGTCCGGCACACTGTGGCGACCAGTGAAAGCTAAGTGAAAGTTCTTTGTACTGATATCGTGCATACGAACGTTTTTTGCAACATTGAACTTCAACATACACGTTGTTCTACCGACACACTTCCATAAGAAATCTTTGTATTATTCACTAGTAAGTTTTGAAAAAACTAAATAAGCTAAAAAGTCTCACATAATTATCTAAATATGCACAGTGTTCATAGGATGTAGGCAGTCACTGATGCATAACAACAACTCTCACCCTCTCCAATGTGGCTGTAGCATTCGTATAGTCTCCTGTGTGGTAGTAAGCCTCCCCTAGCGACGCCAGGATCTCCACGTTATCCGAGAGCTGTGGCTGCACAGAACATGAGCAAAGGTTCGCGGGTCAACACCTATACAAGAAGCACTGGGTACACTGGAAAGGTCATAGATGATTGGTGTATCAATAAAAAAATGAAGTAATTTATATAAGATGGCAGAATGTCAAACAGCAACTGAATGTAATATATATTTACACGAAACCCTACAATTAATAGACTATAAAAATATAGATTTTCACTTGGGCTAACGGGTACATTGCCAAGACAAGCTGCATTAAAAAGAAGGTGAGGAGCGAACACGCGACAGCTTCATAGACTGTGCCCCTCAGCCTGCCTCCAATGTGGTTAATGCCTTTATAATAAATGAGTGAATGGATAAAGAAATATCCAATAAAATAAATAAATAAGGCACATTTTATGCATAGACATTGTGGATATATTAATCTCTTCCACTGGTACAACTTGCATAAGCCATATTAGTGAGCTCGATGTAAAACTTTTAAATGCAAAGCAGCTTTAACACCTATATACTACCAATAGGCAAAGAGAAAGTGTACCTTTGACACTGCAACAAATGCTGGCCAAATTTAAGTGCTAGGTGTGCATTCCCGTACTCAAAAGTAGGCCTGGGAATTCTGTCAGGTAATATGTGGCCATGGATTTCTTCATCAGCGAAACGCGAACTTCATGTGCCAGTGCACCGTGCTCAAGGTGGACGGCATGAAAATTTGAATGAACAATGCCTAAGACGTGCTGTGTGACGGGTTGCAGCTCCGGATACCGAAGCAACAAAGAAAAGGCGTCGCTCTTCTGTTTCCCAAGTAGCGCCGAACTCCGAGAGAAATGGAAGCGAGCTATACCGCGGTTGGAAGCTGGCGGTTTCAGCTTCGAAAGTAAGAACGTTCGGGTGTGCGAAAAGCATTTTGATGCTAGCGACGTTGTGAGAACCGACGAGCACATCGTGAACGGGGTGGTCGTGTCGCTTCAGCGAGAGAGACCGAGGCTTCGCACGAAGCCATATCTGCCTTGATCCAAACAAAATCGAGGGGCTATTTGAAAGTACCTAGCAGCCGTCTTCTTGCTCTTCTGAAAATTGTTGAAGAACATGTAGAGACGTACACGGTGGAAAACATTGCATGCGGTGACGTGTACGCGAGGATTGTTGAGGCCATTTTGCTCGAAAGCCGCACAGCGTCAGCAAGTGTAGGTTGTCTGTTGCACTTTTTAGGGACAACAGCTGAGGTTGTACACTTTTTTTGAGATGTAGATTACATTTCTTCACTCGAGAAAAAAACAAAGCCTCGCGGGCAACTGTGTGCAGTTCTTGCCCTGCAAGTGGTGGGCGGAAGCCACAGTGTTAATCATAATGGCTGTGTATGTGAGCACGCCTTCCCATTTGTATATAGTGTTGTATATCTTGTATACATTACACTGTAATATTTTCGTACTATTCATATTTATCTGCATATAGTGTAAATAGTGTATATTCAAATACAGTTTATTTTAGGCAGTGAGCTAAGGCAGAGTGCAGCTGTTAATGAAACGAAATACACATTGTACAGTAGAGTCACAGATTATGTAACATTGCTCGGAACAGCTGCAATAGTTTCTAGTGCTTTTCTTCTCCAAAGTGTTGTTCTCAGTGTATTTTGTGTAAATAAATGTTTTCCAACTTTCTCCCCATTACATGCACCATATGTGAATCTCCCATTCATAAGTACACACCTGACTACTAGGCGGCGTATCATTAGCACCAAATTTAAGATTTATTGCATGCCTTAAATCATAACCGCCTTTCCCCCCCCCTCCCACCCAAAAAATAAAAACAAATGTGTGATGAGGTACCTCGGTAGTGGCAGAGGCGGCCAAGCGGCTAGCACTGGCATCAAAAGGAACTTCCAGATTAGGCTGCTGTACTTCCGTTCCCGGAGAAATCATGGGTTGTCGGCCGGTAAATAATAATGATCTAAACAGTAAACACAAGGAAACGTCAAGCGGCGGATGTCCCGTGTAAACTGCGTGGAAAGAAGTGATCAATCAAATGTTGGGCACGTTTAGAGCGGTCGCGAAAGCCCTCGGCATCGAAAGTCCCCGCGTCAAAAAAGCGATCGGCGCTCACAAACGTGTGTCCAAAACAACTGCGCATTTGGGTATGAACTCAATTGGAAGGTCTGGAATAAAACTTCTGGCTCAACCATTCAGTTCATTTGAATACTTGGGTAGTAGCGCGCGAGAGGCGAGCCGGATATAAACCAATGTGATTGCTCCTGTACTATATACCCGGTCGTGTTTCATTTCGTTCACCTTCCTCCCCCTATTAGCGGCCCTACCAGAATATAAAGCTCACCTACCGCATAAACATAATCGCCCTTTGGCCGGGCGCAAATACAAACATGTTGTCGAGCAGATCAAGCAGTAGCTGCTCGCATCAAGAGCATGGAGCATAAGCATCGTCTTTCAACACTTGCGAGCTATAGCTCGCAAGTATCGCTTCGAAGCATCGTAAGTATGCATATCATTGGGCTATGAGACAATTATTGACACAATGCGTTATCGCTCGGTGTGAGAACACTTTTAATGCGCTGCTGTTTATAAGGTGGGCCCGCACTTCCAAGTAAACTACGCGTGTGTTCCAAAGTAAACAGCTCTCATTCGTCGTCGACACTGGATCCCGTTTCTACTTATTTATCTGGTGGCATTGATGCGTTCAGAGACGTTTAAAAAAAGGTAACAGGAAGAACAGCACGCACATAATCGCGTCGAAACGTCGGCCGCAGTGCGCATACAAGCCCAGCAGTGGTGGCGGCTTGTGGCCCCCATACAGTGCAGTCCACTTATAACGATACCACATATAACGATATATCGGTTATAACGATGGGTCGACTTAACAGTCTCATTTTATGCATTGGGGCTATGGGGAAAAAAACCATATATAACGATATGTTATCCACCGCATATCGGATACAACGATGAAAAGTTTGCCGTGGACGGCATGTTTCATTCAGAATAATCGTAACATTTAGATTGATAAGTTCCTCTGAAACGAACTATGCCGAGACAAGACGAAAAGTTTGCGTGGGCGAGTACGTATCTGCCGCCACTGCAGCACAGCGCCGGCAGCGCGTCCCGGCCGTTCAAAAAGCCGAGGAGAGCATCGCGAGTTGGCGCGACGCGCTACAGATGGCGCCAGCTGTGTCACGTTTTGCGCCTCGCCGCGCGTCGACCGCGGAGGGGCTGATAGAATTTAAAAAAAAAAAAATGCGAAAGGCAAAGTGCCGCGCTCCGCGGCTCCCCGCCTTCTACAACGGCGAGCTACTCGTAGCTTGCCGAACGAAAGCGGGAAAGAGAGAGAAAATAAAAAAAGCGAAAAGCAAAGCGGCGCGGCGGCATCGGGGCGGGGCCTCGTTGGCATTCCGGCTGTGTACCTCTGGCTGTGCTTTCTTCCTCCCACTGCTCCCACCCCGCCGTCGGTCAGTCTCTCTTCCTCAGCGAACCCGTGATGCGTTCTTCGGAGTAAGAAATAAAGTCTTGTTTTTGACATCCTACTATCTACAATATTTTTTGACATCCTACTATCTACAATATTTATTAATTGGTGAAAATAGCGAAATGAAGCCTGGAGCTACAAAAGGTACGTCCGGCGACGATTTTTTGGCGGCAGTCCAGATATAACGATCACCGGTTATAACGATCATATTTTTAGGTTTTCTCGATATCGTTATAAGTGAACTGCACTGTACGACGGGTGGCGCCTCTAGCGACAGATTTTGTCCCTATATCAACCTTCAGGCGGAGTTTCGTGACCAGAAAAGCATTGAAGGACTCTGATACTACCAATAGGCAAAGAGAAAGTGTACCTTTGACACTGCAACAAATGCTGGCCAAATTTAAGTGCTAGGTGTGCATTCCCGTACTCAAAAGTAGGCCTGGGAATTCTGTCAGGTAATATGTGGCCATGGATCTTACAAAAATACATTCAAATAAGTGCCATCCTTTGGCAGTGACCTATCGCAAACGTACAGATTATGAACCAATCAGCACTGTATATGACACCACTGCACCACCAGCTCAGTGCAGTCCTTAGTCAGATCCAGGAGATCTTGTTCTTGCCTAGTTGGTTCATCTTGCCCATTCATGTCTTCTTTGTGCTCCTCTCCTTAGTTCTTATGCATTTTGTAGCTAGCAAGCACACGAAGAACTGCTAGAAAAATAATCTGACATGATGCTGCACTCAACTTCTCCTGCACATCTGAAATCCTCCTTCTCGCTAAAAGAAATTATTGATCAGACTGTGTTGTGCCTGTAGCACCTATATTTTCTGTGCACCATTGCATTTCATAATGTTGCATACCTAATTACACATTTTGGAGGCGTGTTGACTTGCAGAGTCAACATTCCCAGCTAAACTGTAGACACAACTACCCCACACGTACCTCTATGGACACCTGTCAAGTCACAAGCTAGCAATTAAGCAATCTTTGATAATTTTACACACTGCAACTCATAGTATTCTAAGTTACCTTGCCCCCCACAAACACATACACCGCACACACTGAAACATAACTTTTGGCATACCTTTTGTGTCTTTAAAATGATATACACATCTTTTTAGATATGTTACACATTCTGCACTTAGACTTTCAAATTCAATTCATCAACGGTCATGACTGCACACATGAAAAAATGTTTTTTTGAAGAATGGCTTGTTGATTGATTGATTTGTGGGGTTTAACGTCCCAAAACCACGATATGATTATGAGAGACACCGTAGTGGAAAGCTCCGGAAATTTCGAACTCCTAGGGTTTTTTAACGTGCACCAAAATCTGAGTACATACACGGGCCTACCACATTTCCACCTCCACCCGAAATGCAGGTGCCGCAGCCGGGATTCGATCCCATGACCTGCGGGTCAGCAGCCGAGTACCTTAGCCACTAGACCACTACAGCGGGGTGATGAATGGCTTGTGGCAGGGTGCGTCCCTCGGTAGCATATAGTGGAGTATATTAGTGAGGTGCACATAAATTTACAGCCCATAAACAAATTTGATGTGTAAACACAAGCCATTCATAATGTTACTCTCAGAAGCGTTTGCTTTTAAAAATCACTAAACATACCAAAACAACGCTTACACAATGATGAAATGCTACAGCACAGAACGAATGTGCCGAATCAGATTGTTCTTTCAATTTCAACCGTTATACACATTTACGTCTTTCCACCATTGGAAACAGCAGCATCACTGAAAAAGAGCTACAGTGAAAACTGCGCATGTTCAAAAACTGAACAAAACCTTCATCGCTTCATTGTCAGAAAAAAAGAAACACTGCAAATCCACTGAGTGAAGGATAAGTGGGCAAAGCAGTGGGATCATTTGGTGTTGCCTTCAATCACCTGTGACATTGTCCACTCATGCATCAGTCATAAATGATATGTTGTGTTGAGTTGTGAATTTCGTTTTGCCTTCATTATTACTGCTTTGTGGTATCAGATATAGCCCGAAGTTGGCAATGATGAGTTGTGTGCACGTTCCTGTGGTGGTTGTTAGTTTTTTCCAGTCATATGAAGTGCATCGTAGAGCTTATCGAGATGTCATATACTGCACGAGCCAGTCAGTGTTTGTGATTATCATCGTCATCGCGTATAGTGGGCACCTTGCATTTGCTCGGCTACGGCGAACGCCGCCAACGAACAAGCCTCAACCTTATTAAGGAGCTTCACCCTTCAAACATTTAAACCCCAACTTAAGAGACACTGATATAATAGACTATCAGTTATACTAGACAGCACATGCGCATCTCTCGTAAAGGGTTTCAGTTGTGGTACAGAATTTAGTAAGAAGCTAAGCCCGAATCCCTGATGAGCTGCACACTCACCCTGGCTTCAAGCTGCTTGAAGTTGGTGATGCTAGACGAGTACTCCCGGGAGTGGAGGTATGCATTTGCCTTGATCCACTGCCCAAGCCTGCATGGGGCAATGTTTTTAGTAGACACAGCCATCGTCGTTCCCGCTTTTTACTAAGCACACTGCTTGGTTATGATAAGCGGAAGAGGCATAAAAGTCGGCACCAGCTGCCTCAGCAACCTGCATATTTACACACAGATTGCAACACTTCTGCAAAGCTCCCTGAATTAACGGGAATGGCGTGTGCACATCTTGACAGATTGGGAAATGTGAAATAAAAATTGGCTAAAAAAAGATTTAAGATATTACAACATCCACTTCAAAAACATGATTATATTTTTTTGCCAAGAATAGTTCCGTGTACATTGTAGTGCAGTATCCTGATTGCTTGAAATGTCGCAATCGTAACTGATGGGCAGCTTGAATCAAAGTCCTTCAATACTTTTGCTGGTCATGAAGCCCCATCGTAACTGTATGGAAGAGCTTTGTGCGCTGCAAGGAGAGGCCGCGTGGCAGTACTGCATTCTCCCCGGGCGGCTGCATATCATGGCATGTCTTCGTGCATTTTTCATTCTTTGATTTAGTGTATGTTTAGCCTGAAGGTTGAAAGGAAGCCACAACATGATGCGCACCTGGGTGTCGATGCAGTCACAAGGAAAGTCACAAAAAAGTGTCTATGTTCAGGCTGCTTAGACAGTTCGGGTGAAGCGCGCTGTATCACGACAACAAACTGGTGGTCTTACATTTGATTTGCCACAAGTGTGTGTGCGTGCAAAAAGCACTTCAATGAGAGTGAAATCTTTCGCATGAACCAGTGGCTAATTAGAAGAGCCATGAAGACGCCACTTGATTTTTCGAAACTTTTGCCAAACGCTGTGCCAAGCATATTACACAGCCCCCCGGCGTATTTGTCTCCAGCAAAAAAGTCTAGAGTTCACCTGTCTATTGAGCGTCTCTGGGTACCGTCAGATGAGCTGGAGACTGTCGAGGCGGCACTGACACTGTGCATGAGCCCCTCTGACACAGCTGCCATGGATAAAGACGCAGTTAATGAAGGTGAGCATACTGGCCGCGTCTTCCTCAATGCACGCTAGTTATGCAGAAGCTCGATGAGTGAAATACTCGCAGTTTTCTTTTATGCAGGCACTGAGATAACCAAAAGTGTACAGGTGATATTCCAAATAAACGGAGCTACATGCAGACCTTCACAGCTTGAAAAATTCAAAGCGCACGTTCGTTGCTTGGAACAGAAACTTCCGCGCTACCGATTGAAGCTTGGTAGGGTGACGACCCATGAGAGAATGCACCAGAAAACTGTACGAAACTTGCGCAAGCTGTAAAAGCATGAAAAGTTAATTTTTGATATGAATGCGTCATGAGTCTGAGAAGATACTTTTTTGCACCACATGTTGACGCTGCCGGTGCGTTTCATAGTCCGCCAATTTTATTGTTTGATGAGACATGTAAGGCTTTTGCCTTAACAGTAAAAACAATAAGTAAGGACAGGGAGGACACGGCATGAGTAAGCTACACAGCAGAGTAAAGGACTGGGAAACAACACTGCATGATCGATCGAATTTTGAATTGGCTACGGCACTGTAGTGATAAATCCTGCATAACGAAACACGAAAATCATGCAAAAACCACAAGAGGTATTGCTTGATTATCGTCACTTGCTAAATTCAAAGCACCGATTCATTCAAACTGGGTGTCCGTTAGATAAATACAAGGCTATTTTAAGATATCTTTGTACACTAGAAACACTAAATGTATATGTAGGCTGAAAGATTGGATATGCACCATCAAGAGTTGCAACTAACTGCGCTTCTGCGACGCGTTCGGATCTGCCAGAGTCATTGAAGAGCTCTGGATCATCCATAAATTTTCACTAGATGCTTCAGGAAAAAAAGAAGCATGCTTGTGTAGTAGAAGCATACTACATTAAGGAAGCAGCACACCTTATTGCCATTGAATTTCTAGCTTCAAGGCCCCATTCGACACTACATTTCACTATATTAGAGTTTCCCTGAATCTTCTCAAAAATAACATCACTTTGAAAATGTAATCAATTTTATGGGTACATTTAATTACGTTTCGCAGTTCCAACGTGTGCCGTACCATTGCAGCGCTGAGGCTGCTGCGATGGTACTCTTTTGTCCCTATATCAAACTTTCGTCGAAGCTTCATGACCAGTAAATGTATTAAAAAACTCTGCGTGAACTGCGCAGCCAGTTCAAGCTAAGTTCCACGTACAGCGAAACTTCAATTATTCATAACCTGGTTTTGCAACAACCCGCATTAAACAACAAATTAAGCCTCTACAGCTGACCTCAGCCTAGATAAAATGGAAATTATAACCGTCCCTATGAAACCAAAAATATGTTTCAGCCATGTTTTCGGGCTCAATGACTGTGGCATCTTGTGGTTGAATTCGCATGCTACAATACATTAGGCACTGATAAATGAGTTTGGGGGGAGAGGAGTAGTTCGAAGCAGGATCGCGCAGCTGAAGAAATTTGGTACACAATGGTGCTAATGGCCCAGCTGTTCCACCTCTGCATCGTGAAGCATACAAATAAATGTGACATGGGGCTCGAAGTTTCAGACTGACCAGCAATGGTCACATGTGAAGGACCTAGCTGTGATTTTAGGCTATTCTAATTGCACAGACCATTCCATGTGTGGTGGCAGAGAAGAGCCACTGGAGCCTCCAGGGTGCAGCACCAGTGCAGCCACCTCTCCAGCCTTGACTCCCAGCTCCAGAAGACCCTTGGCAGCTTCCAAAGCAAGAGGACACTCCCTGCAGACCAACAGTGCCAGTGACACGAGTTAGTCACAATTTGTAACAGCCTGGCAACAAGCAAACACTAGCCACGTCTGCCCTCTTACCAGAGTTGCAGTCACAAGGTTATACAACTACACATTGTGTGAGCTATTGTGGCTTTGCGATCGTCGCCGTGTGATCATTGAGACTGAAAATGCAGCGGCCACCTTTACTGTGCAACGATTATCGAAGAACAAACTTGAATGAGCACCCACGAATCAATGAAGCTGTATCCCTTGGCTATTGAGCCTTTGGATTTCAACCTGAACATACATTTCGACTGAGTGTCTTGTTTACAACAACACAATAATTAAATTTGACATGGAAAAACTGAAGAAATTCTAACCTCTTCCATATTTTCACATAAAAACCTCAAAAACAGTTCTCGCTCTCAGATTTGCTGGATCCACTAAAACCTTCACTTCGAAAGAAACCAAAGCTGCATCTTCATAACAAACGTAATGTGCACCTAGTAAAAATCTACATATACATTAGCAATCTGCATATTTGGGCCAATTGATAATTCGCTTTCCAACATGAGGCAGGAAAAAAAATTGAGACAAGCCACATGTGGCAGCAAATACTACATAGAACAGCCGAGGAGTTGCCCGAACAACTACTTCTGGGGGCATTAGTATAATGTTCGGGGTGGTTTACAGGGTCACGTTGTGATGCATTATCGAAGCTGCGGATGTACGCCTGAACTTGAAAATTTTCCAGTGTGCCCTAGAATCATGCTGGCCAAAGAGCACAAGAAATAATAAAAGCAGCTGAAATAACCAATGTTCACTGATCACCAGTGTATCAATCTGCCATTTATTGCCCTGTCTAAGAACTGTGCTGTCTAGGTGTAGCATGCGCCTCACCGTGGTGGTCTAGTGGCTGGGGTACTCGGCTGCTGACCCGCAGGTCGCGGGATCGAATCCCCACTGTATTTTCGATGGAGGTGAAAATGGTGTAGGCCCGTGTGCTCAGCTTTGGGTGCACGTTAAAGAACCCCAAATGTTCGAAATTTCCAGAGCCCTTCACTACGGCGTCCCTCAAAATCACATGGTGAGTTTGGGACGTTAAAACCCACATATCAATCAATCATTAGGTGATAGGGAAAGCTTAACCATTTTGTACAAGCCTTCAGTTTTGAATGTAACTGATCATGAAAGTTTACCAGTTATTACTTCGGAGTGTTGTAATTTGAAGAAGCGGAATGGCACAGTCGTGCAGTTAGTGTGATAAATATATGCCCTAAGGGGAGACTCTGGTGTTCTAAAAAAATTTTCTGTTTATTATCATATTCAAATGAAATTTTAAGGCAATGTATCTTTTAACCTGCTGTGAAGATATATGCAATCCATTTTCTTTTATCTCGAGTAGTTTTAGAGATATTGAATATATAATGAATCGTTGAATTGCCCAATTATTCTGCAATTTAATCATTAAATATCCTTGAACACTTTATGTGGACATAGTCTAGAATAATCAAGGATCACAATTATACTATCACTGTAATTTTAGCTATATTTTTATAGAAGTTATTGCCATATGTAATATAATGGTTGGGAAGATGAGAATTTTCATGAGATTTATCAGCACATAAAAAATTTTCTCTTGACTAAATATAAATTTTAGTAGTTTTATTGTGTATAGGAACTCGTAAGCTGTCAATTGCATCAAGAATCGTTGAAATCTGATCACTAGATCAAAAGATACTGTGGGCAACAGTATAGCACATAGGCAAAAAACTGATTTTGAGAAAACACAAAAAGAAGTTTGAAGACTATATATAGGTTTAATTCTTGCCAAAAAAGCAACAGATGGGAGTCCTTTTTGTTCTAGAAGCCACCAGGCTTATAATCACCATCACTTTCTTTCACACGCCTCTTCTTCATGGCATTCTTGAAGTCTTCTGCTCTGGTATGCTTTTTGTCACATGCCGCTAGCCGCTGCTGGTCCTTTTCCAGACATCTTTCAACATCTGTGTTGCCTTGGTTCAAATGCAGCTCCTTCAAAATGGCCTCAGAAGCACGTTTCTTTCCAGCATTGAACCGAGCAACCGCTTCCGCAACAGCAGTTTCGACTGTGAAGAGCGAGGCGTGCTTGGTTTTTGGTACAAGCGACCAGATCACTGAATGGAGGCTCTCATTCGAGTTTTGAGTTTTGCCTCTTTAACAGCGCTCCAACAGCTTTCGATCTGAGAGGCGAGTGTACACTGGAAAGAGCGCTTCTGCAACATATTCCGGGAAGTCGTACCGATGCTTAGGAGGAGCCTGCTGCCTTGCCACTGCCTTGTTGTGGGCACACCATGAGTCTTCTCCCTTTGGGCACCGTGAATGTTGTGGCTTTGCATCAGTAGAAGTCACATGATAGTAAGTGGCAAGGACAGCATTTTCCATCTCATCGATGTTTCCCTGGTGTGCCTTGAGTGCCCAACCATAATAATTTGTAAGCTTCGTTACAAGCTCAGCGGTGAGCTTTCCTTTGCCACCGAGGCTTGGCCGAGCTTCCCCCTTGCTCTTCTGCAGGAGGTGTCTCAGTGCAGCACCCATCCTTTTATGTATATGATTTATGCAATCCTCCTTTTCGATAGCCACGAAGCCATACACTTGCTCCTCCTGAAGGATGTTGAAAGCGCGGCTATCGCCATCGCACAACATCGTTGTGTAGCGGAATCCATGCTTTTCGAGGGACCGGCGAAACAGAATTTTGGCAGCCTCCACCTCCATCTGGCCAGGCTTGCTCGAAGAGTTTTTTTGGCACTTGTGCCGAGCTCGCCACTCACTGTATCGAGGGTCGTCGTCCTTGGGGCCAATCTCGCAACCCAAACAGAAGTTGAAGTCCAACACATAGCCCGAAAACAGTTCTATTACAGTTCCCACACAAATGTGTGACAAGTGGCCACGAGTTAGCCAAGTCCCGTTGTAGGAAACTGCAATATTGCCGGGGTTCCCGAAATTCAGTTCAGAATAGATGGCCTTCACAGCTGTTGCGCACTCGCTAATAATACTCGCGGATGCGTTCATCGCAGCAGGGTTCATCTTGGTTTTGACGTAGTCTTGGTACGTTTTGTTGTGCATTCCACGACGAGACACATTCAGGGCCGAAAAAATGTCGTTTAGCACGGTCTGCCCATTTCCCGTGCTCATAACTGCACGAGCCGCAAGCACATTTACTTCGAAAGGGTTGCAGGTCGCATTCCCCTCTGCTCTCGGCGAGCTCTATCCGGCGCTGACATCTCCGCAGACGGCACAGTTCACCACTATTCTAACTGCCAATCCGTACTCACGGTCGTCCCGTGAAACATTCAATGGGCCAGAGCAGAATTCGCATTTCGCGCACCGAAGCAGTTGGTTCAGCAGCGGTAGGCTTAGCAGCGTGAACTCGGTGCCGGACCCCGCCGCTTCCGGGGAATCTCCGATAAGCGACCGCTTTCGGCGGGTAGCTGATAACGAAGACAGCTTCTGTCGTTGCTCTTCCGCGCGATGCTCAATTGCCACTTTTTCTGCTTCTGTCACAAAATGCGTATCGACGCGCGTTGTCCTCGTGTCGTCGGCCACAGGCATCACTTGCGCGGCTGCAGCTTCGGTGGATATCGTACACTCGCTGGCGCATGTCGCGGAGCTCGTCGCCGTCGATTCACTCGACGCTGCTTCAGGTATCCGAGACCGACTCTTGCGTTTTTTGCCGTAGGCATGAGCCGTCGCGAATTTGCGTCGCCCGCCAGCCATCGTCCGAACAATTTGTGACAAGGAGTCGCGCATTGTTGCACACAGTCGGGCAGACGAAATTTCGGTCGTCCAATCGGAGAGCAGGATTTGCCCCATGTGGTATAAACGCGCCAATAGGTCCGTTCGATTCGTCTGCACCACGTGAACCAGTTCACGAGGTGCTGCACCTTACCATTCGTTTCAGTGGTGCAGTATTGACGACCACTGAATCCTGCCATTCGTTTCGAAAGGTGCAGAAGAGGTGCAGCACCGGTTCACGATTTTCCTGCACCTCCTTCGCTGACGGTGCCGGCCTGGTGCAGGCGCGCGTGCAGCTGAGCAGACGACGCAGCAGTTAGACGTAGGTGGCTTAGGCGCCGTACCCGCCTCTACAAATGCGGTAAGTTTTGCCAAGATGTTTGCGCCTCATAAACTGTCCGCATGTGCGTTTCGCCATAGGTCAGTGTTTGCTGAATGGTGTAAATTAACCGAAAAGAAATAAGGCCAACACCTTGTCGGCACATCGTCGTTTGTTTCGGGTGTCGTGCTGTGCCTGCACCGCTGAACTCACGCTGCATAATTTCTGAACTTCGGGTGCACAGCCGTGAACCGGTTCCGACCGGTGCAGGTGAATCGAACGAACCTAATGCCGTGCGAGTATTCCCTCCTTTTCGGTGGCGTGTAGCTCCATAGTCGCCAGACGCCAGACTTAAAGTTGTTTTCTCGCTAAAACCGGATTGCTGAAGCATTTAGCTTTCGAATGATTCCAAAATGGCCGTGCTGCGGCTAACGGTTACCGCAGACGACGGCATTGAAATTGCCCGTTTTGGGAGGGCGTTTTCGAGCGAGAGTGATCATGAAGATCTCTTTAGAACGCAATAGCAAAATAAATACTAATCGGAACGCGTTAATATTCCAGCAATAGATTCTTTTGAACGTCGAGATTTCGAAAAAAAATATTTTAAAAAATTGATTTTTTGGCAATTTTTTGCTCTAAAAGACCCGTGTCTCCCCTGCCCTAACAATGAAATTCTCCTGAAAGCTAGCGCTTGTGCGTGTTATAATTTTTCTTCATTTTTTTGTCTAGAATGTTTGCAGTAAACAAGAAAACTACATACACAGTCAATCCTTGCTTTAACAAAATTTATTTCAAAAAACCTACGGTGTAACGAACTACAGAAATACAAAAAAGACGCATACCATCAAGGAAGGACTTGAGACAAAAGAAAAAGGCATCTGTCTCGATTCCTTACTTGATGGTATGCATCATCTTTGCACTTCACTACGCATGCACTAGCTGCGAGTAAGTCATACTTGCAGCTAGATTCCTTGCAACATCGAGGTTCGACAGCATTTCGTACCCATCAAAATTTAGTCCATGAGTTGAACCTGCGCCACGGTGCTTCGCAGTGCAGAGTCTTAGCAAGTACGCTACTATGGCATGCGGGTGAGCTTTTGGAAATTAAGCCAGTCATTCAGTGAGACAGAATTCAGGCCTTGACGAAGTGGCACAGGATTAGTACACTATGAGGCATTTTCACAAGGCGCATGTGAAGGATGGGAAAGTCGCGATACACTCACTTGAGCACCTCGCGGTAGCAGGTGATGGCTGAGCGCTCGTTGCCGCTCTGCTGATACAACTGCCCCAGGGCCATGTTTACCCGGCTGCTGCGTTGCTTTCCTGGAATGCTCTCCAACTGCAGGCAAACAATGAATGATGCAGCATGAGATGAGGGGGAAGCTAGTTTGGTGGTTAGAATTTCATAATCCATTGCTCTGAGACAGACAGCCATATTAACTGTATTAGTGCAATCTTTCGAAGCCAGCTGATGTGTTGGCAGTGTATTTAAACCTAACCTCTTCATATGCGACTCTAGTGCCATAATCAGTCGGATCAAGGTAGCTTCATGTGAACATAATTCTGTTATTCAAAGCTATATGTTAAATCTGTACAGCTGCTTGTGGCTGAAGACGATTTATTTAAGTACAGGAAAGGTGAACAAGTTAACAGGTGTAGCTCAGGCATTAGAGTCACTACTGGCCAGCGTTCGACACAAAACTTGCGCTCGTGCCACAGCGCCAGTACCATGGCGTGCCCACTTCGTTGTTGTCTTCTAAGGCGACGTGCCACTCTTCCTTCTTTAGACGAAGTCTCCATAGCAGCCAGGAGGTTGCGTAACCTCTGGCAGTCACAGTTGCCGAGTGGTCACTGCCTGTGACGTTGACGGTTGAGAGGGAGTGTTGTCCTGCATCTTGGGTGAGCCAGGCAATTTAGCAGCTGAGCTCGATGGCGTCTCTATGGGCGTTGCGTTACAAGCAAGGATCACAGTTCGACGTGGCACAATATTTGACCTTCAATCCAATCTGGTTTTTTCAAAAACTATTGGGTAAGCACTCCATCCGCAACAGCAAAACGGCAAGATTTTTCCAATGTCTCTTGGCTCTCAAGAATTTGTTTGCCCACCTCCCGCTTGAGAAGATTGAGAAGGCACAGCAGTTCTCGTCCAAACATAGCTCTCGCAGGCGTCATTCTTGTGGCAGTGTGCATCGTCATGTGTTGCCAGTACAGAAATCTTGCAAGTCAGCACTGTATGGACTTGTCTGCATCCCTCAGCAGCGCTCTTTTCAGCTCTGCCACATGGCACTCTGCCTGGCCGTTTGTTGCAGGGTGGTATGCTGATGAAGTTACAGCCCGTATGCTATTTGACGCATAGAACTGCTTCATATCGCTGGAGACAAATGCTTTTCTGTTGTTGGAAATGACCTTTCAGAAAATGCCTAATGTTGCAAACAAGCTTCAGAGTACATCGATGACAGCTCCAGATGTTGCTTGCGTCATGTGCTGGACTTCGACCCACTTTGTGTATGCGTCCACAGCAAACAAGTAGGTGTGCCTGAGTAGTGGCCCTATGAAGTCAATGTGCACCATGTTTCATGATGTTTGGGAACGGTCCCAGGTAGAAATGGGAGCTTTATATGGGCTCTTATCGGTTGAATGACATTCACGGCATTGTTGCACCATTTCCTCGATCACCTTGTCAATTCCAGGCCACCATACCTAACTCCTTGTGCATTTTTTGAAAGAAATACACTTTCTTAGTGCACAGAGAATGTTTTTAGGAAGAAGACAGAACAGAGCGCTCTGTCCTATCTGTCTTCTTCCTAAAAACGTTCCCTAACACTAAGAAAGTGTATTTCTTTCAAAAAATGCATTACCAACTAGCCACTCTTTGCTCCTTGTGGCTACCATGGCTACCATGCCTCTGTGATCAGCATGCAGAAGTGCCAGAACATGGGATCATGCTGCGCTCAGTGTGATCACTCGTGATCCAAGTGTGATGCACTCGCAGTGAAATGCTAGTGTGGTCGCTCGTCGTCGGTAAGGAGCAAACTCATCTCCAGTGAGTTTCTCTACTATGCCATCCTGTACTGCCTTGTACAACCTCCGCAGGATGCTGTCTTGTTGTGTCAGGCATGCTATCTCGGTAGCAGACGATCGAGGTCCCAAAAAAGCTTCGAACAATAGAACGTCGCCTGGAGGCCAGGGTTCATTGAAGCGTTCTTGTAATGGCAATCGGTTCAGCGCATTTGCCTTTTGATCGTTCTTGCCATGCCTGTAGATTAAGCTGTAGCCATAAGCCGATAACTTGAAGCACCACCTGGTCATCCGTGGAGAATGGACTTGAGTCGTTGGCTTTTGTGGACCCAGTATGCCGAGCAGTCATTGATGGCCAGTGATGAAAGTCAGCTTTCTTCCTGCAATATACTTGTGGAACTTGTGTGCTGCAAACACCACAGCAAGGCTTTCTCTGTCAAACTGAGCATAATTGCACTCTGCCAGCCCTAGCGTCCAAGACGCAAAAGCGATTGGCACCTCTCTATTCTGGTCATCATGATGATTGACATGTAAGGTTTAACATCCTAAACCCACCATATGATTAAGAGAGACGCCATAGTGGAGGGCTCTGCGAATTTTGAACACCTGGGGTTCTTAAACGTGCACCCAAATCTGAGCACACAGGCCTACAGCATTATCTTCTCCATCCAAAATGCAGCCACTGCAGCCGGGTACCTTAGCCCCTAGACCACCGCGGCGGGGCCTGGTCATCACGTTGAGACAGAACAGCTCGTATGCCATATCGTGAAGTGTCACAAGAGACAAGAGGTTCCTTCTGTTTACCGTAGTGTGCCAGTACAGTCTGACTGAGTAGCAATATCTTAAGCTTGTCAAACGCTTCTTGATACTTTGTCTCCGATCTCAACAAGGCGACCTTCTGAAGGAGCTGGTAGAGACACCTGGCAACTGTTGCCTTGTCCGTCAAGAATCTGTCGCAGAAAGCCAGCATCCCAAAAATGGATTGAAGTGCTTGTTTGCAGTTGGGTAATGGAGCATGCGTTATAGCTCGAGCTTTCTCTTCGCTGGTGTGGAAGTCGGGTAAGAATAGGAGCTTTTTGGTTTTGACGATTTGACGTCCTAGAAAAAATACTCGTACTACAAAGCAGCACTTCTTTTTGCCGAGGCGAAGTTTGTGCTACCGTAGCCTCTTCAGTACTCCTTCCAGTCTCTTGGCGTGTTCCAAGGCGTCTTTCCCACTGATGATCACATCATCTAAATACATGTACACACCTGTGAAGCCAAACAGCCTACTCTCCATAAAGTCTTGAAAAATGGCTGGAGCTGTAGAAATTCTGAAAGGCAATCTCTTGACCTTGTATAGCACTTTCAACATGTTCAGCGACAATACCTCTGCTGTCTCTAAAATCATGTGAAGTCGCTGATAAGCCTGTGCCAAATCCAGGATGCTCAAGACTTTGCCTCCCCTCAAGTGGCTGAGCACTTGATCAGTTGTGGGAAGTGGGTAGTCTGCCATCTTTGATACCTTGTTCACTGTGAAATGGTAGTCACCGCATACAACAAGCCTTTTTTCTTCTGAACTAGTACAAAAGGCATCCCCGATCCGAATGCCGCACCGGCTCGATTATGCCTTGACTTTGCAGTCTATCGAATTCAGCTTCGACAGCTGATGGCAGCGCGAAAGAAACCGGCCGTGCTTTTGGGAACTTTGGCTTCGCTCCTTCCACGAGGTTTTGTTGTACCGCAGGACTGATGCGTCCTGAGATGTCCTCGTCGAATACCGATTTGTATTTGTTGAGAAGCTTCGAAACAAGTTTGTCGTCTGATACATCCCTGATACCCGTGATCTGTATACCCAGATGAGGAAACCAGCTTCTTCCAAGGAAGTTACAACCTGCTCTCTTGGTGACAGCAAATGGTAATGTAATAGTCATGTTTCTGTGCGTGACAATCACCGTTGCACATCCGAGAACTCAAAGAAACTGTCCTGACCATGTGCATAGAAGAATGTTGTCAGTCTGAAGCCGCGGCGGGTCATCTGTCTACGTAGCTTTGATCGTGGCCTCACTGATGGGTGTGCGCGCTGCACCTGAGTTGACTTGGAAATCGTGAGTTGACTTTGAAAGTTGACTTCGAGAACATTGCGGCTAGCTTAAAGCAGCAATAGCGACAGTTTGAGGCCTCTTCAAAAATTAATTCCCTAACTCAGTACCACTCTCGCTTGGCTGATGATTCTCAAAAATGGCATTTTGCAAGGTCTCATAGGCCAAGCTAAGTGTCTGGCAGGAACTTGCCTCCAAAATCTTCTTGCTTCTTTCTCTTGCGACCCCTTTCACCTGAAATCCAAGTTCTAATAGCATTTAAAAGAATTGCTCTTGCCAGGAATGTACAAACAAAGGCAAAGTTTTATTCAACATGAGCAATCAATGACATTAATTCCATATCTGCCTTTATTCGTCTTTCTTTGAATTGTCTAGCACCTGGTGACTAGGACAGTCATTTTGCTCTTAGAAGTTAGCAAACTTTAGCTTGCTGAAGAAATGCACAGGAGCTACTAGCCAATTTCATGAATGAATCTTGTATAGCCTTGTCCATTGCTGCATGTAATGCCCTCTAATGCAGAGCGAATTGCCCAGGTAACCTCGCAGAGCCCGTTAGCCCAACAGTTACAGCACCTATGGTGATATCAAAGCAACCACCGCACAAGGGCAACATAATTTGCCAAGACAAATCCAGGTGGCTAACCTGGATCTGTGCTCATGTTCTTTTCGATCTTGCCCATTAATATGTTTCCCTTTATAAAAACAACTTATCAGCAGTTACATTTTGCCGGATGGTGCATACTTCTTTCCGTGGTCCACTGCCAAATTATAAATGCGTCCTTCAAGTTTACATGTCCCAAATCTATTCTCGTTGGCACGAGCGCGTTGAAAGTGGGATGAAATGGGGCAAGGCCCTGCCTAAAAGTTACATCATCGGGCATCATATCTTTGGGAACTTCAATTTTTTTATAAACCTGTTGGCCACTACTCATGGCTGAGATGTGGCATGCAAGACGCCTTCTAGAAATGCTCTAGTATTCAGGATGTCTTGTGTCACTATGTGCTCAGAAGTATGTCACCCTGGGACTGCTAATCGGAACACGCAGTTGTTGGCTGACAAGAGGGCTTGGTGCGGCATGTAGTCGCTGTGGTACCCACACTGCAGCCGAAGCAGCATTACGAACTGGCCTGCACCAGCCCGGCCGATTACAAATCCAAATAGTGCATGTTGTAGCATTTTTGACTAGATTTAACAGGAAGTATAAACTGCCAATGCACCTATTTCATGAAGTGCATACGA